CTCTACGGCACAGAGGAAAAACCGATGATGAGGTCAGGGTCATCCTGGGGACTATAAAGACCTGAATCCAGACCCGGAGCTGTGAGAGACGCTGTAGAAGTGAAGAACTGAGTGGATTTAGTCGAGTCAAAGTTGATTTCAGAAGCACCTTCAAAGACGGCGGTCCGACGACGTTCTGAAGACGGAGAAATAAAAGAAGAAAAACAAGAGAATTAAAAACAGTAAAAGGATCAGAGAGACTCGGACTCCTCCTCCGTCTGACTGAAGCTCACGCTGCTCTGAAATGACCTCCGTCTTTATCAAGATCAGACCCTCACTCAGGGTCTCTCAGCTGTTTTCAGTTATGATGCTGATCAGAGCGGCTCAGGTTGGACCAGGTTTACATGAGGTCACTGTCACGACCATCGACCACGTCCACGAGTGGGTTAAATATTCCCCCCGTCCACATGTGTGAGGAGGAGCGAAGACCCCAGAGACAAACCAGACACAGCATGAGAGGAAGAGCCGGGGTGGAGGGTGGAGGGTGGAGGTGGGCTGCAGAGCGGCGAGCAGAGGAACAGACGGGCTGAGCCAGCTGGAGGAGGATGGTCTCAGCTGTCAGCTGATGTGCTCCTGTGAGGAGAGGGACACGGAGGTCAAAGGAGGTAAAGTCGGAGCCTCACATACGAGATGTTCCCAAAAAAGACTTTTTATCATCTAAAGATCTCCAGAGAGCGGCAGTTTCTCTCTCCTTTACAGTAGATCATTGTAACGCTCTCCTCTCTGGTCTTCTGATAAAGAACATCTCACAGCTTCTTCAGCTTCTACAAAATTCACACCAGGAAGAGAGTCCACAGAGAAAAGACAGACCGAGTGTTTCCACTCTGTTGGCTCTGTCTCCGTCCCTCTGTCTCCGTCCCTCTGTCTCCGTCCCTCCTCTCTGGTTTCTGTCCTCCGGTCTCACAGACGTCTTCTGACTTTTCTTCTGCTTTTTAGATCCTGACACCTGAACCTCCTCAGCAGACTCCTGCTGTCAATAATCCAGGTTTGGTAATCCACTTTTCTTTGTTCCTTGACCGTCTATGTCTGTCCAGGATTTTCAAAGAAAACCTGGGACGGATCGGCCTGATCCAGATCCAGAACTGGGTTTCTTTAAATGGGAACACATGCACAGTTAGTTTCTGTCCTCAAAATCCACACAAACGTGGATTTACTCAGTATGGTATCCATGCATCAGATCAGCCGTGTAATCGTATTTTTGCAGGTTATAAGAGTTAGGAGAGGAGAGAGGAGAGAGGAGAGAGGAGAGAGGAGAGAGGAGAGAGGAGCGAGGAGAGAGGAGAGAGGAGAGAGGAGAGAGGAGCGAGGAGAGAGGAGAGAGGAGAGAGGAGCAGGGAGAGAGGAGCGAGGAGAGAGGAGAGAGGAGAGAGGAGCGAGGAGAGAGGAGCGAGGAGAGAGGAGAGAGGAGAGAGGAGAGAGGAGAGAGGAGCGAGGAGAGAGGAGAGAGGAGAGAGGAGCGAGGAGCGAGGAGAGAGGAGAGAGGAGAGAGGAGAGAGGAGCAGGGAGAGAGGAGCGAGGAGAGAGGAGAGAGGAGAGAGGAGCGAGGAGCGAGGAGAGAGGAGCGAGGAGAGAGGAGAGAGGAGCGAGGAGCGAGGAGAGAGGAGAGAGGAGAGAGGAGCGAGGAGAGAGGAGCGAGGAGAGAGGAGAAAGGAGCGAGGAGAGAGGAGCGAGGAGAGAGGAGAGAGGAGCGAGGAGAGAGGAGCGAGGAGAGAGGAGAGAGGAGAGAGGAGAGAGGAGCGAGCAGAGAGGAGAGAGGAGAGAGGAGCGAGGAAAGAGGAGCGAGGAGAGAGGAGAAAGGAGCGAGGAGAAAGGAGAGAGGAGAGAGGAGAGAGGAGCGAGGAGAGAGGAGCGAGGAGAGAGGAGCGAGGAGAGAGGAGAAAGGAGCGAGGAGAGAGGAGCGAGGAGAGAGGAGAGAGGAGCGAGGAGCGAGGAGAGAGGAGAGAGGAGCGAGGAGCGAGGAGAGAGGAGAGAGGAGAGAGGAGAGAGGAGCGAGGAGAGAGGAGAGAGGAGCGAGGAAAGAGGAGCGAGGAGAGAGGAGAAAGGAGCGAGGAGAAAGGAGAGAGGAGAGAGGAGAGAGGAGAGAGGAGAGAGGAGAGAGGAGCGAGGAGAGAGGAGCGAGGAGAGAGGAGAAAGGAGCGAGGAGAAAGGAGAGAGGAGAGAGGAGAAAGGAGAAAGGAGAGAGGAGAGAGGAGAGAGGAGCGAGGAGAGAGGAGAGAGGAGAGAGGAGAAAGGAGCGAGGAGAAAGGAGAGAGGAGAGAGGAGAGAGGAGCGAGAGTCTGAGACGGTTTCAGGTCTCCGTTTTTAATCCTCAGCCTCACAGTCAGAACTTAGTCTGATACGACAGGAGGAACTTCCTGTGAGGGGTTCTGAGGAGCTCCAGGCTCTCAGTCTGGTTTTTGTTCAGTCCTGCACAGATCCAGACTGAACTTCAGAACCGGGGCTTTCCACCATAAACCCACCACCGTGAGACACGGAGAGATCTGATGATCAACGTGAAAAAACACCAGGAACACACGAGGACGTTTAGACTCTGATGACCTGAACAGGAAACCCTGGTCCATGTGGTCTGGAGAAAAACTTCACCGAAACGTTCTCAAGTTTCTGCCTGAAAATAAAAATAATAATAAAAATAAGAAGATTTAAAACATTCAGAACAAAAACATCAGATCACACGCCGGACAGTGTGGGTACTAACCCTCCGGACGATTCCTGACTCTGCTGACGGGAAATCCATGAAGTTCAGCAGAAGAGAGAAGAGTTCAAAAACTTTCAAGGGGTTTTGGAAAAGTTCTTGTACCGAATAAAACCACTGAAATAAAATAAGTAAATGTGGGGTCAGGGTGGGAGACTCTGGTTCATGGTCTGTCTGGACTCTTTGAACCGATCTACTACTTCCTGAATTTAAGACTGGTCCTTTATTTCCTGTTTTATATCATTGATTAATTATTAATCATTAATCTGATTAATCCAGGTGTGACTGCTCAGACACACCTGGATTAACGAGTTTGTCCAATGATGTGACGGTGACCATGGTGGGAAACCAGCTGTGAACCCGTTTAATTCTTACTAATTATTTATATATAATTATTCTATCACCCCTCAGTCTGATCCGTCCGTGTCGCTCGGCCATGACACTGAAATCACGACAGCGTCACCAGCGCGGCTCTCAGATGTCTTTAAAAAAAAGTGTCATTTTCACACGCGCCTCCTCACCCAGAGTATTTCATTAAACACGTGTGAAGCCTCCTGTCGTGGGTTCTCACTCAAACCATCACAACACAGTGGAAAAACAGGCGTAGTGGGAGAAATATGGTAAAATATTTTTACAGCGGCGTTCCAAGCTGCAAAAATATTTACAAAAGTACCAAAAAAAAATATTATTTACAAAATGTAAAAGGCAAAAAAGAAAATACAGGAGTTCCACTTTAACTCCAGATTCTCTCTCAAGAAAACAAAAACAAACAAACAAAAAAAGAACAAAAAAAACAGAAAGACAGCAGCGATACAGACGTCTGTTTGACAAACTCCAGACTTACAGACTGAAGCTGCCCTCTTTTGACCCCCCAGACCCTCCCCGTTTTTAATTTAATAAGTTTAAAAAAAAAAAAACTAATTTATTCACATTTAAACTATTTTTAACTTTTGGACCTTTTTCTGTAAGTTTTTACCTTTTTAACTTTAGTTTTTACACAAATCAACTTTAATTTTTAGAGATTCACGGAAAACAACAAGGGAATTAATTTTTCTTGCGTCATGTGACCACTTTGACCCTCCATACACACCTATTTGACACCCGGAAATCACACGCTCTGTTTCCTTATTTGGGAACATGAACCGGAATGACGGCGTGAATGGACGTCCGGCAGGTCAGTGAAGGGATGAATATGTGAGTGAATTGCTGCGTCCGAACTGCCCGTTCGGATACTACATGCTACTGCTACGTGCTACTGCTAGATCCTACTCCTACATACTAAAAACGTTGGCCCAATTCGGACACACTAGACGAGCGGTGGGGAAAGACGACCCCCGCAGGCAGAGAGTAGGTACTGCGCCCGTGCAGACAGTGGTAACTGAAGCTCCTCATCTGCGGGCCTGGCTGTAGTACTGCAGCTGTGCAGTTTAATGATGGAATAAGTGAGCTTTACCTCCATGATGTCGCCACATATTTGCTCATAAAATGATTACTTGGGCAAATATGACACCATGACATGACAAAGAGATACAACCGCACATTTTTTAGGACAGTGTGTGAAGTTACATGAAACTTACATCTGTACTGCTGCGGTCCCGCCTGCTGCTGCTGCTGCTGCTCCGACATGGTGCGCGCTGCTGTGGCCAGCCGGCGTTCGCGACACTTTTAAATAGGCAGAGCAGCTGGTGGCGCTAGCATCACATGCGCTTCTACAACTTTTAAGAGGACGAAGAAGAAGCCCGCGGTGCATTTTGGGTCAGTAGCATGCCCGTAGGATGCACCGAGACCAACCTACAATGTGGGCGTGTCTAGCATCTGAAGTAGTATCTGAAGTAGCATGCTACTCGCTCCGGTGGCCAATTCGGACATGCTAGATACTACTTCGACTACTACTTCGACTACTACTTGGCAATTCGGACGCAGCTAATGAGTGTTAAAGTGTGAAACCTCGTGCTGCGTCCGAACTGCCCGCTCGGATACTACATGCTACTGCTAGATCCTACTCCTACATACTAAACACGTTGGCCCAATTCGGACACACTAGACGAGCGGTGGGGAAAGACGACCCCCGCAGGCAGACAGTAGGTACTGCGCCCGTACAGACAGTGGTAACTGAAGCCCCTCATCTGCGGGCCTGGCTGTAGTACTGCAGCTGTGCAGTTTAATGATGGAATAAGTGAGCTTTACCTCCATGATGTCGCCACATGTTTGCTCATAAAATGATTACTTGGGCAAATATGACACCATGACATGACAAAGAGATACAACCGCACATTTTTTAGGACAGTGTGCGAAGTTACATGAAACTTACATCTGTACTGCTGCGGTCCCGCCTGCTGCTGCTGCTGCTCCGACATGGTGCGCGCTGCTGTGGCCAGCCGGCGTTCGCGACACATTTAAATAGGCAGAGCAGCTGGTGGCGCTAGCATCACATGCGCTTCTACAACTTTTAAGAGGACGAAGAAGAAGCCCGTGGTGCATTTTGGGTCAGTAGCATGCCCGTAGGATGCACCGAGACCAACCTACAATGTGGGCGTGTCTAGTATCTGAAGTAGTATCTGAAGTAGCATGCTACTCGCTCCGGTGGCCAATTCGGACATGCTAGATACTACTTCGACTACTACTTGGCAATTCGGACGCAGCTACTGTGTGTGTGTGTGTGTGTGTGTGTGTGTGTGTCCACGCGCTTCCCGCTCCGAGTCAGTGAGGACGCCGCTCCGTCACTTCCGTTAGCCGTTAAAATGGCGGTAGTGTTTCTAGTGTTAAAATAGTTTCCATCAGAGGAGGGAAAGTTGGGCTGACGGTTTTAAGATGGAGGTGATTTCGAGCATTTTCATTTGTTAGCTGAAGGACTGATGGATCGGTTCAGGATCTGTTATCTCTGTCCGTCAGTCAGAGTTACTCGAACTACAACAGGTCAGTTATCATGAAAACATAAGTACAGAGGATTGAACAGGGAAATATAAAGAGTGTGAAGATGTCAGGTGTGGAGTGGGAACGGGTCAAACTGCTGGACTGTCACACTGAAACGGTGACTCTTGGCAGTTCAGGTCCAGGTGTGTCAAAGGCCGAGGCAGGTAGACCAGCAGCAGGATCTGAGGGACCAGAACAGAGCGGGGGGGTGTGGATGTAGAGTGAATAAGTGGATGTGAACATAAAGGTGTTTTAGAGGTCACAGGAAGACTCTAAACATGGAGGAACAGATTCAGACAAAGCTGCTCGCAGTATTTTGTCCCCCAGTCCACAAAAACATGAAAAAGTTATTTCTGTTTTATTCCGTCTGTTTCTGCGGCTCTCAGCTGAGGATGAACCAAAACTGTCCAAAACCAAAGTTATGTAGAGATGGTGTCCAACACGAGCGTCCAAGTGTTTCCACTGAAGTGTCTCTGTTCAAGAAGTTCATGACTCAGAGTTCAGGATTTATTCCTACCAGCTCCCCCTGATCGGTGCCCCTCCTCCAGGATTGGACTTGGATTGAGGAGAAGGATGTTTGGAGGATCTTCAGGTTGGATTTTAGTTCGTTATAAAAACTCAGATGGAGGACTGTGACCTGTTCCTCTGTGACTCCTGAGTGATGGATCTCCTTCCTCCACCTCTTCAGTATGCAGATCAGAGCGGTGGGCGGGGCGGACGGCTCGGAGGTGTTCCCCCTGCAGAGACAAGTCTGCACCTCCCTACATGGCTGGACTCGTGTGTTTGGCGTGCAGAGGGCGCAGAGAGGAGACGCAGAGCAGCAGATCTGTAAGTGACTCTTGACTCGTGCATGAATGTGTTTCAGCAGAGCGCTCTAAGACTGTGCAGGTCCAGGCTTTTTCACATCAGGGTTCGGTTTAGTTTTTAAAAGCTGAGATGGATCCAGTTAAAGCTTCATGAGTTTCATTGATCCGTCACTTTAATCTGGTTTAAACTCAACTTTCTAATCCAGTTTTATCGTCACAGAAACAAGATCTTTAAATCTTTAATCTGATTCAGTTTTGAACTCCTGACATAAAAACCTCAGCTCTGACATTCCTCACATTGTTCTCTGAGAGGGTTTCAGCTCTAACATTATGACTCCTGCTCCATAAAAACATGAGTTACTGAATACACTTTAATGTTGTTTTAATAAGAGACACACATCCTGGTGAATTTGGACGTTTGTGCAGATTTTGAAGAAGTTCAGCCTGTAAACTCAGTAACAGTGAAGGATAATAACACTTGAGATTTTTCTGCAAACCTCTTGAGTTTGAGTCTTCAGGGACATATTCGTGTTTTTGTTTAACTCTGATGATCTGGAGTTTGGCTCTAAACTCCTCTGGATTTACGAGATTAGGACATAAATCTGTCAGACTGCAGGAGTTCACTCACACTGATCACTATCAGTCTGTTAAAACCTGCATGAATGAGTGTGATGAGGGAACACCGGAGTTTAACCGCAGCTAAAGGATCATTCTGCAGTTTTTTGGAGATAAATAAAAGGTGCATTTAAGGCAGCAGCAGCAGTGTGTGTCCTCTGAGTTTTAATCCGCTCTAAAGTGTCGGTGAAACGAGCTTTAAAGAGTCAGAAATGCTCCACATGCACGACTGAAACTGACAGTTAGAGAATGAAACTGTGAATTTGTATTTAAACAACACCAACAACAGTAAAAGTGCAATAATACACCCCTAATCATTTATCAGTCATGTGCAGTACCATCATCATCATCATCATCATCATCATCATCTTCTTCATCATCATCCATACCTGTCTTTTTGTCGGCACTGATCTTTCTTCTCTGTAATATTGTTCTCATGTCTGTAGTGCCGTTCTTCCCTTTTCCGTAGTTCTTCATCTTATTTGTTTTTTGTGTTCGCTGTTTAACCGCTGTTAACAATTTCATCTCCCCACTGAGGAATGAGGAAAAGAAAATCTAATCTAATCTAAAATGTTGTGCATGCAGTACAGAGTAAAACTGTAAAATACAGATCAAACTGGACCACATGCATCTCCAGAATCAGACAGTAACTGCCTGAAATTCTTGTTTTTGTTGAACTTTGTGTCTAAAACTTTGAGATTTTCCCCCAAAAATCTCTTTTAAGACAAAAACAGAGTCTTTAATTTAATCATTGATCTGTTGGTGAAACAGAAGCGCTCGAATCTTTTTCTTTCTGCAGTTTTTGTCTCTCTCTTGATGCTTCTTTAAACTCCGGGCTGAAGTTGTTTTCAGTCTGAATCAAATGTCTGCAGTTCTTCTCATTTACAGTCCGGATGTCGAACACATGCGGCTCTCGCTCTCAGCCACGCACCGCAGGTTTCCTTCACTCACACTCTTTGAACTGTTTGATGCGGAGCTGAGCGAACTTTGTGTTTCTCTCCACACTGTCTTTGTGTTTCATGATAAATGCTGCCGAGCGGAGACGGAGCCGCAGAGTACGGAAGGTCAATCAGGACAAAACTGTTGGCAGAGAAACAAACATTCAGGCTGTAAATCTGAGAGTGAGGGAGTGAGCACAGGTGGGTTCAGAGAGGGAGAGTTTGTTTACTGAGGTATTAAAGTCAGATTTTAAAGTTTTTTATCACTCAAAGGTTTTACTCAACGTTCAGAGCCGCAGAGAGACTGTGTATGAAGCAGCATCATCAGGCCGCTGTCAGGACTCTTCAACAGCTTCTGAAACAAACTGAAACTCAGCCTGACGCTCAAGTTTTCCTTTACTGTGAACTCAAAGTGTTTAGAGCTCCCCCTGCTGGCTGCCTGCAGTATAGCTCTGTAGCCCCGCCTCCTCCCTGTGAACAGATGGAGCAGATGTTAAATTATAACTAAATACACATAAAAAAACCCTCAACCTTCTTTTTAGACTGTTAGTATTTTAGTTTTAAATGATAACGATGATGAACGGGACGTTTTCAGTCAGACAGGGTTAGTCGATGTTTTTGACGTCTTTGAAACAAAATAATAAGTGCAGTTTCTAAAAAAAATCTTTGTAGTTAAATAGACTTTAAAATGTGCTCATGGTTCAGTCGTTCAGTCTCTTAAATCTGGACTTTCAGGATCTAAAGCAGCGTAAAGATGGAGCTCGTGACGCAGCTGGAATTTTGTCCTGAACGGCCTTCCGTACTTCAGGCAGCTCTGTTTCATGTAAGTTCGACTTCTGACGCTGAAGTCATGGTGTTCCCCGCCCCACCCCCTCCAGGCCTGAGACCCTCCCCCACCCTGAGACCCCCTTCATCTGCAGCTCATCTGGTTCTGATTCCACTTTCTCGTCTTGGCCTTCAACAGAAAACAGAAACATGACGTAACTCTCCTGAAATCTGAACCTTTTACTCACGACTGATTTCATCTTCAATAACTTTGAATTTTCTTTATCATTTTTTTCTCTTTTTTAGACTTTAAAACTTTCATGGTCTCCTCGTGGTTCTCAAAGATCTCAGAGATCACCTCTCCTCTCTTTACTTTTTGTTACTTCATGATTCAGTTTCTTCATTTGAGCTCAAATCCAGTCAGATGAAGAAGGTCGCCTCTCCTGTTTCTCCTGACCGTTTCTCTCCTGCAGCCTCTCATAGGTTTCTGGATTCTGGGTGAAGGTATTCTGGACCACCCTTCCTTAGAGAACATCACCAGGTCGGTTCAGTTTGATGGTTTCTGGACCTCTCACAGGTCTTCAGTGATGTTCCAGTCTGGAGACCAGGATGACCAGAACATCTCAGCCGTTCCTCTGCATGAATGTCCGTGTAGATTTAGTGTTTTGGGTCGTCGTCTTGTTGAAATATCCATCCCTCACTTCGACTTTGTAACAGATTCTTGAACTTGATTCTGAAGATTCCCAGTACTGGCGCTGGTCCCACAGCATGATGGGAGTTTCACCGTGGACACCAAGTGTTTTTCTTGCTGTTTTCTTTCGCCGCCATCCATCACGCCACTTCTTCTGCCCAAATAAGTCAAGCTGTGACTCATCAGTCGTCCCTCACCTTCTTCCAGAATGAAGCTGGCTCGTCCAAATGTGCTTTGGCGTCCCTCAGGCGAGTCTGTTCGTGGCGTTTGCTCAGGAAAGTCTTCTTCCACGTCGCTCTCACATACAGAGTTTTCACTCTTGGAGGCGTCTGTGGTTGTTTTTCTCACCGTCCTTCACCTTTGCCAGTATTTTTCTTGGTCTGAACAGAACCTGTTCCTGTAGCCTTCAGGTCCCTCACCGTGTTCCTGAAATCGCTGAGCGAGCTCTCTGGAACCTTCTCCTAAACCGTAAAACTCAACAATCTTTGTAATCTTTGTCGTCGCCGCTCTTCAGAGGAGAGTCAAAGAGAACTTAACGCTGGAAACTCCCCAGAACTCTGTTTTATTAGAAAGTGTTCTGTTACTACGAAGCCCGAACCTCTTCATCTGACTGTAGATCTGGATCAGATCTGGATCAGATCTCTATGTCCCCCTCACGTCTCCAGTAAGTGTTTCTGTCTCGGTTATCTACACAGATCTGTGACTCTGACTCCCAAGGGTCAGATCTGCTGCCCTCTCTGCAGAGCGAGGCGCGCACAAACACAGAAAAATGTAGAAGTCGTCTTTTCTCAGATTTACTGCTGTCGGACCGCCTGGATCAGATTTATAAATCTGTAAGAGCACAAGCCCACGGCTCGCCATAAATGGACTCAACAAAACCCCCTAAACATGTGTTTGCATGTCTGAGAGAGAATATCCAACGAGACGCAGAGTTTCACTCCTACACGTCCTCAGCAGACCAGAACAGCTGCTCAACGTGAGTCATGAGCCTCAACGTAAACTAACAAAGAGCGTCTCAGTCGAGTTTATCATCGACCCTGTGAGGTCTGAGGAATCTTGACCTCGTCGTTTTAACGCCTGCTCTTCATTTCATCTGCGTGATTCCTCCAGGATGATCTGAGGAATCACAGTTTCTGTCCTAAGACGGCGGCCACAGTGAGCGAACAACAAAATCGACAACAAATCCCGTAAACTAAAGATCCGGATCGTCTCTTCATTATTAGAAAATATCCTGGATGTCACTGAAAGCTGCTGGTCTCACGGAGCGAGTGGATTTGATCCTGAACTTCTGCTTTAACCAAATCCTGAGAGGAGAACACACAAGAGAGGGACTTCTTTTAATCAATAATAATCAATCAATAATCAGGTTCAAAGTCTACGCAGACGATTCCTCCTTCATGATTGGAGAGATTCGGAGCGTGGGTGGAGATGACAGCTGAGGTCTGTAGGAAATAAGGAAAGGAAATAAGGAAAGGAGCTTCATTTTTCTGATTGTGAATGTCGTCTTTTCTCCGAAAACTTATTAACGTGCTGCTGCTCCTAAAAACCATAAAATCGTTAAAAACCGTAAAATCGTGAAAAACCGTAAAATCGTTAAAAACCGTAAAATCGTTAAAAACCGTAAAATCGTTAAAAACCGTTAAATCGTTAAAAACCGTAAAATCGTTAAAAAACGTTAAATCGTTAAAAAACGTAAAATCGTTAAAATCGTAAAGTTCGTCTCCGTCTTGGTGACCTTATCTCAGAGGGATCAGGAGTCTGGAAATATCAGCTCTGCAGATCAGAGTTTAACATTCGAGGACTTTCAGCTTCAGGCGGTGCATACCAAACATGCATCAGCACAACACACACACACACACACACACACACACACATACACACACATGGTCAGAGACAAACACACACACACACACACACACACACACACACTGAAGCTGCTCTGTGATGGTGGATTAGCTCTGATGAAGGTTTTTCACACTCGAGTGTGTTTACATGTTTTTATCCTCGGTGTGTCATAGATCAGCTGCACCTCGAGTGTGTGTGTGTGTGTGTGTGTGTGTGTGTGTGTCTGTGTGTGTCTGTGTGTGTGTGTGTGTGTGTGTGTGTGTTGTTTCCTGGAGGACACAGAGTTCGAAGCCTTTTTTGGTCAGAGTTTACATTTCTAAACACTCGGTCATTATCGGGGAGAGAGGAGGAGGCAGGAACCAATCAGGACTATCGGATCAGGATCAGGCCACGCCCCTCAGAGTCCAGAGACTCTGTTTGGACCTGGTCTTCCTCCACCACATCCCTGATGGAGCTGATGGTCTTATCTGTCCGAGGTTTCCTCTGTTTCCTCGAGTGACTTTAACCGACCTGAAGAGAAACTGAAGGAGGAGGAGAAGGAGAAGGAGGAGAGGAGAGAGAGAGGAGAGGAGAGGAGAGGAGAGAGGAGGAGAGGAGAGGAGAGGAGAGGAGAGAGGAGAGAGGAGGAGAGAGGAGAGAGAGGAGAGCAGGGAGAGGAGAGAGGAGGAGAGAGGAGAGGAGAGGAGAGAGGAGGAGAGAGGAGAGAGGAGGAGGAGAGAGGAGGAGAGAGGAGAGAGAGGAGGAGGGAGGGGAGGAGGAGAGAAGGAGAGAGGAGAGCAGGGAGAGGAGGAGAGAGGAGAGCAGGGAGAGGCAGATATTAGTCTTTTTTTAAATTCCAGGTATTTTTAATTGACTAACAGCGTAGACTCTCAGACTCTCAGACTCGTAGACTCGTTCATATCAGTTAATGAATTTCTTAGTAAAAGGCAAACGTTGAAATATTTTCCTCTCTGGTTACAACATGTTACATTTGAAGCTCCTCCTCCTTCTATGAAAACGATCACTGATTGGACCGTCAGTAAACCAGATAAAGTCTTTTTTCAGCAAGTTCCTCATCGCTCTCTGTCGTCTTCTTTTATACAAAAACCCTGAGTGAAAGCAGACACATAACTTCCTGAGATGAAACTCCAGCCTAAGACCAGATAAACGGGAACCTAAACATCAGTGAGTGTCCGGACCGCCACACAAACATCAGTCTGTGTTTGTGAGCGCTCAGCTGTTCATATTTGTGCCTTTTAACAGACTCGGCGTTTTCGTTTACGAGGTTCACTCTCCTACATCTCGAACGGTCTTTGAGGGTCATGATCACCTCTCTCCTCCTGAGTCCAGCCTCAGTCTTCAGCTGTCTGTGGATCACTGACTACGAAACCTTTGTGGGGTTGTTGGTCCTGAAGCTGGCTAACCCCCGACCTCCACCTTCATCCTGATCGTCTCCTAAAAGGTCGTATCCTCCGATCGTAGCTGATCGTAACCATTCAAGTTAACGTGTCAATTTACACCGACTTCTGGAAAGGAAGTCGGGCACAGACACAAAATAAAACATCCGGCTTCTTTTCAAAATAAAACACTCCGTGTTTCAGGAGGATCGTATTTCACACCATGCAAACGGGCGGAGACGAACAAGTGAAAGGTTTTTAGACGTCATTTCACCCCGATGACACCATGGATGAGGAGATGCTGATTCCAGAAGTCTAGAAGTAGATTTCCTCCTCTGGAAGGACACAATCTACTGCTTATATGTCTATGTGTCTGTCTTTAGAGAGACAACTCGTTATCGTGTGATTGAACGTGAATCTGCGGGTTCTTGTGAGTTCTTGTGATTCCTGCTGTTTGTAATCCGCTATGTAATTCACCGGACAAACGGATCCTGTAGGAATTAGCGGACCGTAAGAATCGCAGCCGTTGTTAGATCGGGGAAGGGGGTTCAGGAGAGACTACCACATGACTGGTCCCAGACCTGATCCCTGAGGTACGCCACACCTGATCCAAGATGGCTGTCAGTTTCTGACAGTGTGTGTGTCCTCAGGTCGTCTCTGTTGGGCCAATCAGAATGAACCGCAGTGATGATGTCAGTCGTTGTTTGTTGATGAGGTTTTTGTGTGTTTCAGGATCGGTGCCGGCCTCCGTCCTCCTGCTGAAGTGTCCTTGAGCCTGACGCTGACCCTGAACCAGGTAACGTGTCTCTCAGCTGTGAGGCTTCTGTTCTTCAACATCTGAAAGTCTTTCAGTTTCTGTCCTCCTCGTCTCTGTTGGACTTTGACACCCTGAGTTCGTGTCCTGGTCTGTCAGGAGCGCTGAACCTCTCTGTTTGAGTTTGAGGCTAATTCTGCTGCTGATTCCTGGGTCAGTAGAGCGGCGTCCATAAAAACTGTGGATTGTTGAGTCTGCTCCGTCTGACCAAACGTGGTTTCATGATCAGATTCAGGATGTTTCTGCTCTCCTGATTGGCTGTGGGAGTTCATAACGAGGAATTTCCTGCAGACTCTCTCTCTGCGTCTCTTGATCTGCTCGAAGGTCTTTAATGTTGTTGTTTTTTATTTACGGCTCTGACAACATTAAAGAAAGTCTCTCTGCAGAGTCAGACCACATAACCAGGAACATCTACTCCATGATTTCTCCACAGAGACAAACAGTCTTTCAGAGCTGCTCACATCCGTCCGTCTGTTTGTCTTACTGTGTTTGACATCTATTATATTACATCTATAATGAGACAAAATAAACAGCGACGTTTTCACTCTGAGAGAAAAGAAAGTCTGTTTTGTTATGAGAGTCAAAGTTGTAGTGAAGCGAAAACATTTAGAGAATAAAGTCATAATAAAGTTTCTCTTTCAAACAGCTTCATCGCTCAGGAAGAGACTCAGTTACAGACATGATTCATTCTTATGAATTTTATTATAATTATCATTATTATCAGAATGACTTCAGATTCATTACATAACTCTGATAACGACTCTGTTCCCAAAACAACTTTGTGCTAAAAATGTCATTTTGATTCTGTGTGACTTTTTTCTCATTATGAGGTTTGAGAAAATCGTCTGCGCTCCGTCTCTTAAAGCTGTTTTTAATGAACCTCTCACAGTTTTTGATGTTGGCATTTTAATCAAACAGGTCCATCAAGGACAACAGTTTTAATACCTGAAACCGGAGACAGAGGTCACAGTATTAACATTAATAATTCACAATATTAACATTAATAATTCTCAATATTAACATTAATAATTCACAATAATAACATTTATATTAACATTAATAATTCACAATAATATTAATAATTCACAATAATAATAATTCACAATAATAACATTAATAATTCACAATATCAACATTAATATTAACATTAATACTTCACAATATTAACATTAATAATTCACAATATTAACATTAATAATTCACAATATTAACATGAATAATTCACAATAATAACATTAATAATTCACAATATTAACATTAATAATTCACAATAATAACATTAATAATTCACAATATTAACATTAATAATTCACAATATTAACATTAATAATTCACAATATTAACATTAATAATTCACAATATTAACATTAATAATTCACAATAATTCTCGGTGTGTTTGACTGTCAAAAAGAAGTGAGATCAGTTTGTTTGTTAAAAGACATTACTGAAGCCTGTTAGGACAAGATAAGCAAACACAGATTTGTCCACAGGGGGCGCCAGAGTCAATACAAACTAGAAGTTCCTTACTGGAGCTTTAATATCCAGTCAAATCTAATAAATCACAAACCCACTCGGTGTTTTCTGAAATCAGCTCGTCGTTTCTGTCGGTATAAAACTGTCACGGGAGATCGGACCGTAGACGTAAACATGAGTAGAAGCTGCAGATCGAAAACAAACAACGTTTAACAAAGTCGGGATGAAAATAAACGTGTTAAATGTCTCAGACTTTATCCAACAGTCAGCGGGTTCAGAGGGTTTAATCAGGCTGAATCCAGACTAAACAAGTCAAACTCAGAGTCTGACAGATTCCTCTGTTATCACGTTAGAAACACAGGAAACAGAGAGCTGGAGTTCCTGTTCGCACATCACGCTGAGAGGTGAGGAGGATCTGTTTCAGTTCAGCTGCAGAGAAACGCTCTGAGCAGGATTTCAGCACGTTTGAGCGATGAAACAAACTCCGATTTTCTCACTTATGAACGTCTGCAGAGAGTTATTCAGTAAAAAGAGTCAGAAAAGTCCGATCTCTGTGTCTGTCTGAGAGCCTCAAACACTGTGAAGGATCTGTTTATCGTCCCCGGCTGCAGGTCGAGCTCCTCCTTCTTCACGTTTTCAGTCTCATACAGGTATTTTTGGAGTTTCCCCCTGTGGGACTCATAAAGGTAGCTCTTATCTTATCTCGTATGTTCAGATGTTTCTCTGGCAGAGTTTACTCCTCATTTGTCTCGGCTGTCTGTGTGTCTAAGTGGTTTTGTCCAAGTTTGGCCCGCTCTGCGTTTACAGCGCATCATAACTCACTCTGCATGTTTTCTGCAGCGACCGTCATTATCAGATTTGACTGAAACCCCGAAGCTTAACTTCGTTAACTCTGGTGAACCGCAGCCGTCAGCGCTCTTGGCCTGTTCTCCTCCGAGAAAAAAACAAGTACATAAATATATTTCAAACATTTTTAACCTCTCTAAGTGTTTCCTGATCATATTAAAGACCACTAAGTGGTCTGCCTCTACATTTGTCACCATCAGAGCTGCAGCTGGTCTGAGGTCTGATGGATGTCATGTGGTCTGGCAGCCTCGGTGGTCATTTGTGAACAGCTGCTTCGACCTCCTTACTCATTATTTCTGTGTCAAACAGGGTTAAGTGTTCGTCTGAATCATTAGTCCCTGTGGTTCAGAGTCCAGGTTAACGAACGGGTCGGCTCGCTGAGTCCTGATCCGACTGACAAAGACGAAGAGAATATAGAGAAGAGGAAGAGCTTCATGTCTTCGTCTGAAGATGGAGGCTGTGAATCCAAAAACAGACCAAATAGGACCGGGCGGTATGGCCTCAAATCAATATCTCGATATATTGATCAGTTCACTTTGATAATGATAAATGAACTACTCCACAAGCTGGTCACCCCCCCCACACTAACTCCGTCTACTCCAGCCGCTCCAGCTGCTCCAACTTTGAGTGATTTATTTTTTTGACAATAACTATACCATTAGGGGCAAAATGACGTCGGTTATTGTCGTAAATTTTGGTATCGGTAAATTCTTGGTTTATCGCCCAGCCCTTACACTAAACATACAGAACACTGAAGAACTGTGAAACAGACTGTTCCTGCAGAGAGGAGAATAAGGAACAGCAAAGTGGAAACTTCTGGACAGATGTTTCTTTGACTCGGTTATATCATGATTGCAAAATTCAGAGCGTTAGACCCACTGATGGAGATTTTATCATCTACTAAATATGAGCTGCATCCTATAAAGCAGAGCTACACACACAGGGCTTCACTTTGTTCACATGGAGAACACAAAGAACTTCAGGGGATCAATGAAAACTGATCAATAATGTTTGTCTTATTGATCGACCTTAGTACTGTTATTAGAAATCAATTTGAGGTCTTTTGGTCACATGACAGTGAAGCTATTGAAGGAAAACAGCCTTTTCTGAGAACATCAACCGGTAATTTATTGACGGTCCCTTATTCAACACCGACGTTGACAGTGAGGGTGTCGAGTAGATTTAACCGCGCTGCTGTTGTTATTCCCGGTTATGGAGAGTGAGAAGACACCGATAGATCCTCAGAGAATGTCCGTCAGATATCCAACCTGAAACTAACTTCACCGCCGTATTTACAGGAAAATATATCCAACCTGAAACTAACTTCACCGCCGTATTTACAGGAAAATATATCCAACCTGAAACTAACTTCACCGCCGTATTTACAGGAAAAATATATCCAACCTGAAACTAACTTCACCGCCGTATTTACAGGAAAAATATATCCAACCTAAAACTAACTTCACCGCCGTATTTACAGGAAAATATATCCAACCTGAAACTAACTTCACCACTGTATTTACAGGAAAATATATCCAACCTAAAACTAACTTCACCGCCGTATTTACAGGAAAATATATCCAACCTAAAACTAACTTCACCGCTGTATTTACAGGAAAATATATCCAACCGAAAACTAACTTCACCGCCGTATTTACAGGAAAATATATCCAACCTAAAACTAACTTCACCGCCGTATTTACAGGAAAATATATCCAACCTAAAACTAACTTCACCGCCGTATTTACAGGAAAATATATCCAACCTGAAACTAACTTCACCGCTGTATTTACAGGAAAATATATCCAACCTGAAACTAACTTCACCGCCGTATTTACAGGAAAAAAAACGTCTGTTGCCTCTGCTGATTTTTTAGGCTCACATGTGACCTTAAATACATTTTTAGATTCACACTCATCTATTTTTAATCGTGAATGAAACGGTCACACTGTCGAACCCTGACACACACATAAACACAGATATGACTGTTGCTGTTTTTTTCTGTTTAAAGAGAAAATCATTGATAATTGATAATGAAATCCCAATGTCAAAAATGATTACTAACACCTCCTCCTCCTCTCTCGCTCCTCCTCCTCCTCTCCCTCCCCCCTTGGATCTGACTCTCCACGGTCCCCCTCAGATCTTGACTCCTGGCCCTTCTCTCTCAGCGCCGCTCCAAACAAAGACTCTATACGTTACATTTCTGAGTTTAGGTTTCGCTGAGTTTCCACATCTGCCTTTCAAACAGAGAAATCTGAACAGTTAATCACACAGGAGGGATAAATACCCCAGCATGCCTCACTGTTTCCTATTGTAAAGAACCAGGGGCCTCGTCCAGGGGCCCCCGGGGGGGCCGGGTGTCCTTGTGTGTTTGACAGGGTGGTTACAGCACACAGCTGAGGTCTGGTTTGGGGGGTTTAGCTCTGTGTATTTCTCTTTCTCCAAACATGAAGGCTGAAGTGACAGATGTTAGTGTTTCCCAGAACAGTTCAGGGACTCCACTCTCAGATCAGACTAATCCAACATGTGTCACATGAGGCCACATCTTTATTTCTGCCTTATAGAAACGTAAAAAGAGAGGCCTGTTTTTATAACAATCGTTCACATCTGCCTGCTTTTGCTCTCCATACAGACGCCCCGCCTCTCCTGATGGACTCTGATCCTCTCACTCTTGAACTAAACTGAGAGTCTCGCTCAGGTCGTTACAGTCTCAGTTTAATCGGACTAAACGTATAATTCGTGTTTTTCTCTGAATCAGACTTCTCTCCTTCAATCGAATTATTGACGTGAACGTGTCCTCCTCCCCAACACTAGGGGGCGATATGGGTCTTTACAACCGTCAACAACAACAGCAGGTCGGTGTCAGACGTCAGAAGTGTCTACAACTGCTGCTGGACATTTTGGAGAAACAAGAAGATGGAGCATCGTACAGCGTTGTTTTTGTCCGACATGATGGACGCGCTACTTTTTCTAAAGAGGAGACCAACGCTACTCCTCTACTCTGGGGTTTTAGTACGGGGTTATGGGGGCGTGGCCTGTATCCGATCATACTCCGACTACGCTGGTCACATGGTAGAGAAAATCATTATCTGGGCGTCTTAATCAGAGTTCTTAAACTCTGATTATAGTCGGACTAAAGTGTTAACATGACCTTCAGTTGTCCGGTCTTAATCGGAATAAGGCGATAATTCGGTTTTCTCGAGTGTCGTGGAAACAGACTGAGTGTAAGAGCAGCTCTGCATGTAGACAGAGATTACAGATAAGTGACTCCAGACGTCATCAGACCGCAGACTTGTGTGACGCTCTTCAGAAATGTTGTTGTGAAAGATTTTCCGTCTCCAGGTGAGAAAAAGAAAACCCAGAACTTGGAGGACGATGGTTCAGTGTCCCCCTCCTCACGTGAAGGGAATCAGAGCGGAGACTCTCTCTGCTCACACATGTGCTCACAAGATGTGGATCTGACAGTCCAGGTCCCCGTAATCCTGTCCTCATCCTGGGTCACGGCTAATGTGACGCCCCGGGCCGATTGGCTTCCTGGTGGGTCTGAGAGCAGCTGTGAGTTTGTTGGTGTTTTTATGTGTTTTTTTTTTCTCCTTAAACTTGTTTGTGAAGTTTGAACCGTCAGACTGTTGGGATGTTTGAGGACACTCGCTCAGAGCTCCTATAAAACCGGAGAGACCAGGACCTGAGAAGAGGACTGGGTCCAGCTGTGCAGGTCATCCCCACAGCAGACTGAGACCCTGAACCCCTCAGTCCTGTTTTCTCCTCTTCCTCAGTCCTGTTTTCTCCTCTTCCTCAGTCCTGTTTTCTCCTCTTCCTCAGTCCTGTTTTCTCCTCTTCCTCAGTCCTGTTTTCTCCTCTTCCTCAGTCCTGTTTTCTCCTCTTCCTCGGTCCTGTTTTCTCCTCTTCCTCAGTCCTGTTTTCTCCTCTTCCTCAGTCCTGTTTTCTCCTCTTCCTCAGTCCTGTTTTCTCCTCTTCCTCAGTCCTGTTTTCTCCTCTTCCTCAGTCCTGTTGTCTCCTCTTCCTCAGTCCTGTTTTCTCCTCTTCCTCAGTCCTGTTTTCTCCTCTTCCTCGGTCCTGTTGTCTCCTCTTCCTCGGTCCTGTTTTCTCCTCTTCCTCAGTCCTGTTTTCTCCTCTTCCTCAGTCCTGTTGTCTCCTCTTCCTCGGTCCTGTTGTCTCCTCTTCCTCGGTCCTGTTTTCTCCTCTTCCTCAGTCCTGTTTTCTCCTCTTCCTCAGTCCTGTTGTCTCCTCTTCCTCAGTCCTGTTTTCTCCTCTTCCTCAGTCCTGTTTTCTCCTCTTCCTCAGTCCTGTTGTCTCCTCTTCCTCGGTCCTGTTTTCTCCTCTTCCTCTGTCCTGTTTTCTCCTCTTCCTCGGTCCTGTTTTCTCCTCTTCCTCAGTCCTGTTGTCTCCTCTTCCTCAGTCCTGTTGTCTCCTCTTCCTCGGTCCTGTTTTCTCCTCTTCCTCAGTCCTGTTGTCTCCTCTTCCTCGGTCCTGTTTTCTCCTCTTCCTCAGTCCTGTTGTCTCCTCTTCCTCAGTCCTGTTGTCTCCTCTTCCTCAGTCCTGTTTTCTCCTCTTCCTCAGTCCTGTTTTCTCCTCTTCCTCAGTCCTGTTTTCTCCTCTTCCTCAGTCCTGTTTTCTCCTCTTCCTCAGTCCTGTTTTCTCCTCTTCCTCAGTCCCGTTTTCTCCTCTTCCTCGGTCCTGTTGTCTCCTCTTCCTCAGTCCTGTTGTCTCCTCTTCCTCGGTCCTGTTGTCTCCTCTTCCTCGGTCCTGTTTTCTCCTCTTCCTCAGTCCTGTTTTCTCCTCTTCCTCAGTCCTGTTTTCTCCTCTTCCTCAGTCCTGTTTTCTCCTCTTCCTCAGTCCTGTTGTCTCCTCTTTCTCGGTCCTGTTTTCTCCTCTTCCTCGGTCCAGTTTTCTCCTCTTCCTCAGTCCTGTTGTCTCCTCTTCCTCAGTCCTGTTGTCTCCTCTTCCTCGGTCCTGTTTTCTCCTCTTCCTCGGTCCTGTTTTCTCCTCTTCCTCGGTCCTGTTGTCTCCTCTTCCTCGGTCCTGTTTTCTCCTCTTCCTCGGTCCTGTTTTCTCCTCTTCCTCGGTCCTGTTGTCTCCTCTTCCTCGGTCCTGTTTTCTCCTCTTCCTCAGTCCTGTTTTCTCCTCTTCCTCAGTCCTGTTTTCTCCTCTTCCTCAGTCCTGTTTTCTCCTCTTCCTCAGTCCTGTTGTCTCCTCTTCCTCGGTCCTGTTTTCTCCTCTTCCTCAGTCCTGTTTTCTCCTCTTCCTCGGTCCTGTTGTCTCCTCTTCCTGTTTTCTCCTCTTCCTCGGTCCTGTTTTCTCCTCTTCCTCAGTCCTGTTGTCTCCTCTTCCTCAGTCCTGTTTTCTCCTCTTCCTCGGTCCTGTTGTCTCCTCTTCCTCGGTCCTGTTGTCTCCTCTTCCTCGGTCCTGTTTTCTCCTCTTCCTCGGTCCTGTTGTCTCCTCTTCCTCGGTCCTGTTGTCTCCTCTTCCTGTTTTCTCCTCTTCCTCGGTCCTGTTTTCTCCTCTTCCTCAGTCCTGTTGTCTCCTCTTCCTCAGTCCTGTTTTCTCCTCTTCCTCGGTCCTGTTGTCTCCTCTTCCTCAGTCCTGTTGTCTCCTCTTCCTCAGTCCTGTTGTCTCCTCTTCCTCGGTCCTGTTGTCTCCTCTTCCTCGGTGGTGTTGTCTCCTCTTCCTCGGTGGTGTTGTCTCCTCTTCCTCGGTCCTGTTGTCTCCTCTTCCTCGGTCCTGTTGTCTCCTCTTCCTCAGTCCTGTTTTCTCCTCTTCCTCGGTCCTGTTGTCTCCTCTTCCTCAGTCCTGTTTTCTCCTCTTCCTCGGTCCTGTTGTCTCCTCTTCCTCAGTCCTGTTGTCTCCTCTTCCTCAGTCCTGTTGTCTCCTCTTCCTCGGTCCTGTTGTCTCCTCTTCCTCAGTCCTGTTGTCTCCTCTTCCTCAGTCCTGTTGTCTCCTCTTCCTCGGTGGTGTCGTGACAGCTCTCTGTGGCTGACGTCCTGATTGTTTACAGCTTGTGAAGATTGATGTCTCGAACCCTGCTGGGACGCAGCGTTGGGCGGATACAGAGTGTGGAAACCCGCTTTATTTTGGCGCTCCAGCTAAGTCGGTTTGTGTCTTCACTTTCAGACATCGGGATTTTATAAACATCCTCAAACAAAAGAGACGAAAAGACTGAAACTTCATTTTCAACTTCGTGTGTTTAATTTAGTTTTTTGTTTTACGCACATAATAGAAGCACCAGCCTCTCCTTAGACAGCCAATCAGATCATTATCATAGAGGCTCCGCCCACTTTAATCACTGCATAGATAATGAGGTTCAGAACTGAGAGGCTGCAGAGGATCATTTAGTAAACAGATAAAAATATCTCCTTTGGGCCTCATGACAAAATTCCCCTAAAACGATCAAACGGAGGACTTGAGTCTCTGCTAATCAGCTGTTTAAGCTCGGGTTCACACACACACACACACACACATACACACACACTCACACACACACACTGGACAATATCAAAGTTATCTGTGCCATCAGCATCCCGTGTCTGGAGTCCACAGAGAGTCCAGTCCTCAGAATTAAAGACTCTGTTCGGTCCCCTCGGAGTACAGACCAGACCCTCATCAGACCCTGTGAGGGACTGAAGTGGACCCAGTCCAGAGACGAGACTCTAGATTAAAAAAGAATCGTCTTATAGATCTTTCCAGCCTCTGCGTGTTCGTCTTCACATGAGAAGGATTATTTAGAGACCTCCGACATTTGAAGCTCCGTCAAATATTTACACAAACGGACTGATGAAAAACACGACGTCTGTTTACCCACAGCCTTTAAAGATCCGTATTAAGTTTTTATTTCAGTCACGTATTTCTAAAACCTGGATCCAATCTGACTGTTTTTGGGGGGGGGGTTCAGTCAGTGCTGGAATTCCCCCGTTAGATCGTTTCAGCCGCAGCAGCAGCGAGTCCTCGACGCGAACACAGTCAGTCTGTAATTCCTCTGTGGCGTTCAACGACTCCCATCTGAGCGGCGCCATCATGTCCCACCCTCCTCTGAAACCGTTTCTTTAGAAAATCAGTCACAGAAGTGTTTTTAAATGATCCTAAATTAGCAGAAATAACGTTTGAATGCAGATTTCTGTGGAGTCTCAGCTTCACTGTAAAAAGAGGCTCTAAAGTTGGCTGAAATAACAGACGGTTCAGTCTCAGCTTCACTGTAAACAGGAAGTTACAAACAGGATTTACTTCAGGGTTAGAATCAAACTGACGTCACCTCAGAGGTCTTAACTTCACTGAAGATCATACAGAGTCTCAGTTTCACTGTAAACATTCACACAGAAGTGTCGGTCAGTCTCTGTTCTTCATTATAAACTCATCATCAGAAATCATCTCCTCACATCCTTCCACCGTCATCGGGGATTAAAAAGATGCGTTTCTAATTTTAGGGCGTCCTTCAGCTGACGGGTCTGCGTCATGTTTTTCACAGCTGGCGCTGATTGTGAACTTAAATAGACAGTAATATTGTCCTCATTCAGGCTGCAGGGAGGAATGTGGGAAACGACAAACCAGAGCTGGAAATGAGACTGAGGACAGGAAGAGAGAGAGAGAGAGAGAGAGAGAGAGAGAGAGAGAGAGAGAGAGAGAGAGAGAGAGAGAGAGAGAGAGAGAGAGAGAGAGAGAGAGAGAGAGAGAGAGAGAGAGAGAGAGAGAGAGAGAGAGAGAGAGAGAGAGAGAGAGAGAGAGAGAGAGAGAGAGAGAGAGAGAGAGAGAGAGAGAGAGAGAGAGAGAGAGAGAGAGAGAGAGAGAGAGGGAGAGAGGAGAGAGAGAGAGAGAGAGAGAGAGAGAGAGAGAGAGAGAGAGAGAGAGAGAGAGAGAGAGAGAGAGAGAGAGAGAGAGAGAGAGAGAGAGAGAGAGAGAGAGAGGAGAGAGAGAGAGAGAGAGAGAGAGAGAGAGAGAGAGAGAGAGAGAGAGAGAGAGAGGGAGAGAGGGAGAGAGAGAGAGAGAGAGAGAGAGAGAGAGGGAGAGAGAGGGAGAGAGAGAGAGAGGGAGAGGGAGAGGGAGAGAGGGAGAGTTTATTCAGCTTTTTATCTCCTCACAGTCGGGAGGTTTTACCAAATAAACACGACTAGAACAAGAAAGTCGTCTGACAAAGACTCCATAATCTGTGTTTTCTTACAGATTAAATGAATATTTTTAATCTGTGTTATCAGTCAGCCTCTCTATCTGTCGAAGCTGAATTTAAAACAAACTCCTTTACTAAGTCTCGGTCTTACCCCCGATTTCCACCGCATCCCAAACAGCCACGAAAAGGTCGTATCGTCCGATCGTAGCCGGATAAATTCAGCACAGATTAACCCGTGCTGGAAAGGAAGTCGGGCACAGACTTCAAAATAAAACATCCGGCTTCTTTTCAAAATAAAACACTCCGTGTTTCAGGAGGATCGTATTTCACACCATGCAAACGGGCGGAGACGAACAAGTGAAAGGTTTTTAGACGTCATTTCACCCCGATGACACCATGGATGAGGAGATGCTGATTCTAGAAGTCTAGAAGTAGATTTCCTCCTCTGGAAGGACACAATCTACTGCTTATATGTCTATGTGTCTGTCTTTAGAGAGACGACTCGTTATCGAGCGATTGATCGTGAATCTGCGGGTTCTTGTGAGTTCTTGAGATTGTCTGTAATCCACCATGAACTTCGCCTCACAGACGATCCGGCAGGAATCGGTGTGCGATGAAAATCACAGCTGTTCAGGGTTGCGGTGGAAATCCCGGCTGAGAGTCTGAAGTAGCGTCTCATTACTTCCATGAAGCCTGATACCGACCTTGAGCTGACCTCCAGAGGCCCTTCAGACCCTGACCCCCTCTCCGGTCCGTCCTGTAGGCCTGATTTCAGTCGGGCCCTAAACAGTGAGGCCCCTCACTCCTGAACATCAGAGCGTCCGTCCTCACAGCTGAAGCGGAAAACGCTCCTTAGACCCCGGCTACATAAACAGAGGTGGAGGTCGGTGTAAACAGAGCTGTGGTTGGAGTAAACCGTGCAGAGAGCGCCTCTCCATCAGCCTGTCACCGGAGCGCCGCACTCTGATTACCTTCACATGCTTCACATTACGCTGAGCGCCATTTCCTCCACTCAGGGCCCCGCCGTTTGGACGCTGATTAAACACGGGGGGGCGGGGGCGGGGGGAGTACACACATGTTGATATACACACAGATGGAGGCGTGTGTGTGTGTGTGTGTGTGTGTGTGTGTGAGGGGGGGGGGTAATGACCCTGAGCTGGAGGATGGGGGTCCTGAACCTGCTGAAGTCTGAAACACCATCCTGCATGTCAGCAGAGAGGAGGAGGAGGAGGAGAGAAGGAGGAGAGAGAGAGGAGAGGAGTAGGAGAGAGGAGGAGAGGAGAGAGAGGAGAGGAGGAGAGGAAGGAGGAGGGGAGGAGGGGAGAGGAGGAGGAGAGAGAGGAGAGAGGAGGAGGAGAGGAAGGAGGAGAGGAAGGAGGAGGAGAGGAGGAGGAGAGAGAGAGGAGGAGGAGAGGAAGGAGGAGGAGAGAGAGAGAGAGGAGGAGAGAGAGGAGAGAGGAGAGAGGAGGAGGAGAGGAAGGAGGAGAGAGAGGAGGAGAGAGGAGGAGGAGAGGAAGGAGGAGGAGAGAGAGGAGAGGAGGAGGAGAGAGAGAGGAGAGAGGAGGAGAGGAAGGAGGAGGGGAGGAGGGGAGAGGAGGAGGAGAGAGAGAGGAGGAGGAGAGGAAGGAGGAGGAGGAAGGAGGAGGAGGAGAGAGAGGAGAGGAGGAGGAGAGGAGAGAGAGAGGAGAGGAGGAGGAGAGAGGAGGAGAGAGAGAGAGAGGAGAGGAGGAGAGGAAGGAGGAGGGGAGGAGGGGAGAGGAGGAGGAGAGAGAGAGGAGAAGAGAGAGGAGAGAGGAGGAGGAGAGGAAGGAGGAAAGGAAGGAGGAGGAGAGAGAGAGAGAGGAGAGAGAGGGGGAGGAGAGGAGGGGGAGGAGAAGAGAGGAGAGAGAGGAGGAGAGGAGACAGAGGAGAGGAGGAGGAGAGGAAGGAGGAGAGGAGGAGGAGAGGAAGGAGGAGAGGAGGAGGAGAGAGAGGAGGAGAGGAGGAGGAGGAGGAGGAGGAGGAGAGGAGAGAGAGGAGAAGGAGGAGGAGAGGAAGGAGGAGAAGGAGGAGAAAACTCAGTTTCTTCGTCAGGAAGATTTTTTTTAACTTTGTTGGATTTGATTAAATTTTTTCATGAATTTAGAGAAACAGGATCTGTTGGGGGGGGGGGGGGGGACTAAAACCTGCAGCAGGGAGAGAGAGGGTCAGGACCGCATCAGTCCAGGACCGCATCAGTCCAGGACCGCATCAGTCCAGGACTCTGTTGTAGTCCCTGTTGTCAGAATCTGGTTCAGGATCATCTGAAGGTCTCCTCTGAAAAGGTCCAGGTCTGGATGGACGCAGATGTTCCTCCTAAACCTGGAGATGTTGTTTAAAACTGAGGATGCAGCATCTATGATTTCCAGTTCTTCGTTGGAAGGACATCTGGACTAAGTTGGGTCCAGTTTTCCAAAAGAAGAGTCGGATTCTGATCCATCAGGACAGTTTCCTCTGATGATCTCCTGACCTTCAGGGTTCTTCTGTCCTGTGGTCATGAACGTCTCCTGGTACCTGCCTGTGTTTGTCTCAGTGTAGATGTTAACCTAGATGCTGCTCTTCAGAGAGTCACAGGAGGATCAGACCAGGCCGACCGTCTGAGTCTGTGAACGTCACCGAGAGCGTTCAGGATATTTAAGGTCGTGTTTGATGTGGTCGACGCCGTCTGTGCCCTCAGATGACAGGAAACAGAAATTGACTCAGTAAGAGGAGCCAGATGTCCCAGATCCAGGACTTCAGGTCCTCTGGGTCTTTAGAGACAGGAGTGGAGCTGCAGGACCAGGACCAGGATGAGTCCGTTTGTCATCATCTTTGAAATCACAGAGGTCAAAGTTCATGAATGTTTATCCTCTGATGGTCGCCGCCCTCTTACAGGCGAGTAAATCTGCAGCTTCCTGAGCGCCGACCCTCCACACTGACCTTTACGTACATGCCGATACGAAGACTCACCGTCCTCCTCTCAGACTGTTTGGAAAGTCTGTCAGAGACGAACGATCAGCTGAGAGCGGACGAGCAAACATCTGTGTGAGCAGCTGCTGTGGAAACAAAAACACGAACCTTTGATTTAAAGAAAGACGCCGAAGCTTCAGGTCAGGTCTGATTAAAGTACAAAAACAGAGACGCTCTGATTCCTGATAATCTGACTCCAACGTTACTTTAGATGATCAGATCAATAAAAATATTGACTCATATAATCACAGAAATTAAGACCAGCAGGTCTGAGGCGGGTTCAGCAGCAGCAGCAGCGTCATGTGACCTCTGAGCGCTCTCTGGATGATTTACTCAGCGTTATAATCTCAGCGCTGTCTGTCGCTCTGTTGGGATTATTTAATTCTTTAATTGTTGGTGTGACGCCCTCAGAGCTCAAGATCCTCCCCACAAACCAACCGAAGCTGCAGATCCGTCAGATGATGGCGCTAAATCATGACTGATGGATCCTCATCAAAACCAGCAGTTATATCAGACCTCATAACATAGCTGTGTCTCTCCCTCTCCTCTCTCTCTCTCTCTCTCCTCTCTCTGTCTCTCTCTCTCTCCTCTCTCTGTCTCTCTCTCTCTCTCTCTCTCTCTCTGTCTCTCTCTCTCTGTCTCTCTCTCTCTGTCTCTCTCTCTCTCCTCTCTCTGTCTCTCTCTCTGTCTCTCTCTCTCTCTCTCTCTGTCTCTCTCTCTCTCTCTCTCTGTCTCTCTCTCTCTCCTCTCTCTGTCTCTCTCTCTGTCTCTCTCTCTCTCTCTCTCTCCCTCTCTCCCTCTCTGTCTCTCTCTCTCTCTCTCTCTCTCTCTCTCTCTCTCTCTCTCTCTCTCTCTCGTCTTTACCTCCGCCTCACCTCGCTCCACGCTGCCCGTCAGTCATATAACAGTGACAGTCTGCCTCACAACCAATCAGGTTAGAGGAGGTGGAGAACGGCTTTGTTTACAGTCAGAAAGAGCGGACCGCTCAAAAATGTTCAAATGTTGACGACACAGACATAAGAGAACACAGAGATATCGATATATTACCAAATAATCAATAACTAATAATTATTGACTGATATTAGAAGATTTTTTGTTTATAAAACACAAAATAAAAAGATGTTTCTTTAACAGATTCCTGCCTCCTCACCTTTAATGAACAAATTCTGGATCTAAAACAAAAATAAAGAAAACAAAGTTCTGGAATTCAGGTTTTGTAGATCTTGAAATAAAGAAGACGTTGAGAAATAAAAAATAAGAAGTTAAATGAACAAACGTGTGTGAAGAGAAATACAAATGAAGACGAGTCAGTGAAAACTGAAAAAGTCCATCAGAGAGAGAAGAATTAAAACGATCTGATTATAAAACATCACAGACAGACCGAGGAGAGGAGAGAGCTGAATCAAAACCAGGAGAGGTTCTGAATGTGGTCCAGAAAAGGTCCAAAACCTGAAACAAGACGTGAGGTCCTTCAGCCAATGACTGTGAGTGGGCGGGGCAACATCCCTCCATCTAAGGAGAACCGCACGTCTGGCCAGGAGCGAGGCAAACGCTGGCGTTCAGCACTGACCTTTGTTTATATGTATATAGTGTGTGTATAGGGTGTATATAGTGTGTATATAGTGTGTATAGTGTGTATATAGTGTGTATATAGTGTGTATAGTGTGTATATAGTGTGTATATAGTGTATATAGTGTGTGTAACTTCCTGTGGTTTTTGCAGGACTCGTCTCCTCTGCTGATTTTAGCTCTGTGTTCTCAGACTCTGTAGAATCAGGTGTTTCAGGCTCCAGTCAGTGTGGGTATATAGTGTATATAGTGTGTGTATAGTGTGTATAGTGTGTATATAGTGTGTATATAGTGTATATATAGTCTGTATAGTGTATATAGTGTGTATAGTGTTTATATAGTGTGTATATAGTGTGTATATATAGTCTGTATATAGTGTATATAGTGTGTATAGTGTTTATATAGTGTGTATATAGTGTGTATATATAGTCTGTATATAGTGTATATAGTGTGTATAGTGTTTATATAGTGTGTATATAGTGTGTATATATAGTCTGTATATAGTGTATATAGTGTGTATAGTGTTTATATAGTGTGTATATAGTGTGTATATATAGTCTGTATATAGTGTATATAGTGTGTGTATAGTGTTTATATAGTGTGTATATAGTGTGTATATATAGTCTGTATATAGTGTATATAGTGTGTATATAGTGTGTATATAGTGTGTATATAGTGTGTATATATAGTGTATATAGTGTATATAGTCTGTATAGTGTTTATATAGTGTGTGTATAGTGTTTATATAGTGTGTATATACAGTAGTGTGTGTATAGTGTGTATATTGTGTGTATATAGTGTGTATAGTGTATATAGTGTATATATAGTGTGTATATAGTGTGTATATAGTGTGTATATAGTGTGTAAATAGTGTGTATATAGTGTGTGTAACTTCCTGTGGTTTTTGCAGGACTCGTCTCCTCTGCTGATTTCTCAGACTCTGTAGAATCAGGTGTTTCAGGCTCCAGTCAGTGTGTGTATATATAGTGTGTATATAGTGTGTATATAGTGTGTATAGTGTTTATATAGTCTGTATATAGTGTGTATAGTGTTAATATAGTGTGTATATACAGTAGTCTGTATAGTGTGTTTCAGGCTCCAGTCAGTCTGAACATTAAAGTTCATATTTTAGATTTCTGTGGATTCAGCTGTTAGATTTCCTTCTACAAACAAACCAGAACATGTTCCAAACATCAGAAACGCGGCGCTCATTACTCTAAATTACTCGCTGCAGCGCCCGTGTTGCTGTGTTAGCCGGCACGCCGGTGTGAAGCTAATTTTTTGGCGCTCTCGTTAACGCTCAGAGTAAATTCCTCCTTTGAAGCGGCGTTTTCTGGAACCTCAGGCCTGTTGGCTGTGACGTCCTCTGAGGTGTTTTTGTTCTCTGAGCAGATGTTCTTACAGAGGTTCCCTCTGGTGTTTCTGTGTCTGTAAATGTGTGCGCTCCTTATAACCACCGCCCCCCCACCGCCGCACCGCCGATCCTGGACCCGTGCAGATGGGAAACAGATTTCTGTGTTTACGGCCGTCTTTGTCTTTCTGTTGTAGTCGAGAAGGAGAAACCCGAGAGCTGTTCCAGCATGGAGGGGAGGCGGCGTCTTCTCCTCAGCCTCATCATGGCAGCGTGTTTCTATGGCAACGCCGCCCAGAAGACAGGTGGGTACGATTATGTCGCTGTGATTTAACTTCCTGGGAACCAGTAAATCAAAGGTCACGGAGAACGTGCCCCTGACCCCACATTACATCAGGCTGTACCATCTGTGGGAGCAATCAGGGAACACACACACACACACACACACACACACACACACACACACACAGACTGTACATACCAACACACGTAATGATACACACATGTATGAGCGCTCTCTCTCCGGGGGCGGGGCCTGTTGGGTAAGTATTTATGTGTTTTCATGATAAACTCTGGAGCACCGTTACTAACCCACTCAGGAATGAAAGTGTTTGCTGCAGGCCGAGCACGACGTTCACGATATTAATCCAATCACAGACTCATGCACTCAAACGCTTTGATCAATGATTTCCTGCTTGACTAAACTGATCGGTCTCTGAACTCCACCCCCGCCGTGAAACTTTATATTCCAGAGTTTTTGGGAAACATCTGAACTTTTTTTTCAGCTTTTTTTTTTTAAAACTTTCCTTTTTTTTGGCAGAACCTGTTTACATGATAAACTGACGTTAGAGACGGTTTTAGGAGCGTGCATCTCCATCTGTATGTGCTGCCAGAGGGTGAACTGTCAGTTACATAAGAGATATCCCCCACCAACAGAGAGAGCCTGACTGTAACTGCTGATCTGCACTGAGAGGGTTTAATAAAACAGCTTCATGTCTGCCGTCAATCATGTATTAAGATTCACCTTTTTGTCAGGATGGCCTGATGAATTAAAATATCGAACCCCCAAAGATGTCAGGCCAAGTCCTCACGAGTATAAAAACACAATTCGCTGGTCCGTGGAGGTCAGCTGATCACAAACTAAGCTTCTGATTGGGCAGCCGTCCGAAACAAAGATGGCAGAAATGACATTTTTTCACCAGAATGAACACATGAACGGTCACAGATCTGCATCATTTCTGAGGACAGTCTCTGTAAAGACTCTGATCCTGGATTTGGCAGGAAACTCTGAGTTTTGGTTTTAATTTTAATTTTAATTTTATTTTTATATATTTTAAATAAACTCTGAATCCACCTGAAGGTAAGTGCTTTCGGAGTCGATCTCCACAATCACCACCAGCTGCTTGTTATTGTCACCTGGAGTGAACACAGTTCATGTGGTCACCACTTCATTCAGCCAGTCACGCTTTCACCTCCTGCTGCACGCCTCCTCACACCCACAGACGGCTCTGATAGAGGGAGCGTCCTTTGAGACACCCTGTTGCTTCAAATCTGCAAGATCTCCCCCCATAACTCGACGGCCTCTCCCTCAGTCTGCACCCAAGAGGCCGTGGCCGACATCGTCTTCATGGTGGACGGTTCCTGGAGTATCGGCAACATGAACTTTGAGCAGATCCGTCAGTTTCTGTACGCGCTGGTCAGCAGCTTTGACGTCGGGCCCGAACACGTCCGCATAGGGCTGGTCCAGTACGGCAACACTCCACGTACCGAGTTCCTGCTCAACACGCATCAGAACAAGAAGGCCATCCTCCAGTACATCAGCAAGTTGCCTTACATGGGGGGTGGTACCCATACAGGAGAAGCTCTGGACTTCATGCTGAAGGAGCACTTTGTTCAGGCCGCAGGAAGCCGAGCACATCAGAATGTGCCGCAGATCGCTGTGGTGATCACCGATGGAAAGTCCCAAGACAACGTGGAGGTCCACGCCCAGAATCTGAAGAAGCAGGGGATCGTTCTCTACGCCATAGGAATCAAAGACGCAGACGAAGACCAGCTGAAGGAGATCGCCAACGAGCCGCACAGTCAGCACGTCTTCAGCGTGTCTGATTTCGCAGCTCTGCAGGGAATCTCTCAGAGTATCGTCCAGACGCTCTGCACGACTGTAGAGGAAGTCAAACGACAGCTCCTGCAGTTGTCCAAAGGTAACGTGAGTCACAGCGAGGTTGGTGTCAGGAAGGTTATCTTCACAGAGAACGAATTATTATCCAGGAGTCACTCAGATTTGGGGGTGTGGCTCTAATCTAAGAGATCCCTGCCCTCCATGTTCACTGATGGAAGTGAGGCGGGGAGAGCACACCGTGAAAACTGTGGTAGGAAGAGCAGCAGCATAGACCTCCAGGGGGCAGAAGAGAGCAGGGTTTGAGAGTGGTGTGTCCTAACAGGTTCCTGTCCTTCCTCTGTGTATGTGTCATGTTAAACCTATGATGGGGAGAGCAGCAGCAAAGACCCCCAGAATACAGAACGAAGCAGGAATCAGATAACCTTAAATCAGACTTGGCAGAAAAAGGAGGAGCTGGGTGGGGGAGGGGGGGAGTGGTCATGAAGGGTAAGGCTGGGAGAACAGCAGCAAAGACCCCCAGAACAGAACTGAGCAAAGCCTGCCTGAACTAGCACTAAACTCCAGAAATATTCAACATTATGTTTGAAATACCGGAAAGATCTGGTCTCTCAGACTTCCAGACCACAAAAGTCCTGATAGATGAACTCTGACCTGAGCTCCCTGAGTCCAGGTCCCAGAGTGCCTCTTGACCCTGATTGTTAGAAACAGGTTTGACACGAACAGATAAAATACAACGGTCTGCTGTGATGGTTGGACCTCGGGGGTTTCCCGCGTGTTCAGAGATGTTTTTGCAGACTGTGGTCTTATCCTCCTCTTTGTGACGATGAGGATACTAAATGACTCTTCCTCCGCTAGTGTCTGACTTCTGCTTCCTTTTTTCCAGAGTGTGCTCAGGCCACCGTGGCCGACATCGTCTTCCTGGTCGACGGTTCCTCCAGCATCGGCATCAGCAACTTTCAGGAGATGCGTCAGTTCCTCCGCAGCGTCATCACGGGCCTCGACATCGGCCCTGACAAAGTCCGAGTGGGCTTGGCGCAGTACAGTAATGATCCATACAAGGAGTTCCTGCTGAAGGATCACATGGACAAGACCTCCCTGCTGGCTGAGGTGGACAGATTTCCCTACAGGACAGGGGGCACCGAAACCGGCAAGGCCATGACCTTCATCCTGGATGAGTTCTTCACCGAAGAGGCGGGGAGTCGAGCCAGGCAGAGGGTGCCTCAGATCGCTGTGATCATCACAGACGGGGACTCAGAAGATGACGTGGTAGGGCCCGCTCAACGCCTCCGACAGCACGGAGTCATCGTGTTCGGCATCGGGGTGGGACAAGCCAACCTGAAGGAGCTGGAGTCCATCGCCAACCGGCCTCTGCAGCGCTTCCTGTACTCCATCGGTAGCTACCAGGCTCTGAGAGGGCTGACCGAGGGTCTGCTGCAAACCGTGTGCATCTCAGTGGAGGATCAGAGGCAAGGTGAGGCAAACACCGCGGACATGTGTCACTGTTGAAACTGAGTCAGACGCTCCTTTATTCACTCTGAACCGTCTGTTTGATCTGTGCTGTTAGAGTCCAGCTGAGAACGATCCAGAAACATGAGATCATGGGGGTCCAGACCTCCCCAGAGTCCTGAGTGAACTGGTTTAACAGTCTGAGTCCAGCTGATGGAGGGTTATCCAGCGAAAATAGACTTCAGTTTATTAGATTATCACTTTCCCCCTCAGAGCTGATCTGACTCCATGTTTTAGTCCAGATACTCTGCAGACATAATACCAGGATCAGACTCAGAAAACATGATCCGGCTCTGGGCAGGGAAACTGCACCATGAATGACGAAGAAACAGGAACATGATCCGTGTTAAAGCGTCACTTTTGCACAGTCAGGTTTTGTTTGGGGTCAAAGGTCTCTATGTGGACTCATTTAAACTGACAGGCTCACTTAGAGTCAGCTGAATGATTCGCTGATACAGCATTTTTATCCAAAACCACAGCCTGGTTAATTTGTAAAAGTGTATTTTTCCTGCTGAAACTTCGTGTGTTCAGTGTCACTGAAATAAGATCCGAGAACTTAAAACTCCAACTCTGATCACATCTTAAAGTGAACTTTGTCGTCTTTCAGCCTTGGCGGAGAGGTTTGCAGACATCTTCTTCCTGATTGACAGCGGCGTGTCCAACACAGACTTCCAGCAGGTGCGAAGCCTCCTCACACGACTGTCCAATCAGCTGAATATCGGCGCCAATGCCTACCGCCTGGGTTTGGCCCAGTACGGTCAGGATGTGAAGGTGGAATTCCTCCTGAACGCTCACCAAACCAGGGAGGAGACCCTGAACGCTGTGAAGCGTTTCCGCCAACGCAGACTGCAAGCCAACGAACGGCGGAACCTCGGCGGCGCTCTCCAGCACGCCAGCGCCAACTTCTTCACCAAGGAGCAGGGGGGCCGAGCCGATCTGGGCTTCAGACAGTTCCTGGTGGTTTTAAGTGGCAAAGACTCGGATGATGAGGTGTACAGAGCGTCCCGACTGATCAAATCCTTAGGGGTCTCTGTGGTGGGGATCAGCCTCGGTGCGTCCCTGACGGAGATGCGGTACATATCAACGCCTCCGTACATATATCAGTCCATCAGCCAAGCTGGAGTCCCTCAGCTGAAGACCATTTTTGAGAGGCAGGAGAAGGAGAGCGTCCTCTCTGGAGGTAAGAACAAACTCTGGTGTTGGCCATCTTTAAAACCAGTAAAACCAGTATCAGGTTGTCTTTGTATTCGATAACAGTAATTTAACGATAACAAACGAGAAACTAAACTGCCAAAGTTAAAGAAATGTAAAATTATTACTGTCCACACCGTCCCTGTGTGTGGCTCTGTACTTCAGGGTCTGTGTTCAGACATCTGGACTTATTAAGAAAGAGAAAACACAAACCAAGTACTTGGGTGGAAGAAAAGACTCATGCACAGTTATTCATCCAAACTGCAGTCTCACGCTTGTCTTATCCACTAGTGTTTCACCTTTTCACCAAACGTCAGGAATTTAAGGTTATTTTTTTACGATCTTTCCTCAGACTGTAAAGCAGCCAAGCTGGCAGACATCGTCTTCATCGTCGACGAGTCCGGTAGCATCGGGACCCCAAACTTCCAGCTGGTTCGAGCTTTCCTGCGCTCTGTTGTGAGCGGCCTGGAGGTCAGTCGCTCCAAAGTGCGAGTGGGCATCGTGACGTACAACGACAGGCCCACGGCACAGGTCTACCTCGACTCCTTCAACGACAAGACCGAACTGCTGAACTTCATCAAAATCCTGCCTTACCACGGCGGAGGAACCAACACCGGAGCTGCAGTGAACTTCACCAGAGACCACCTTTTCACCAAGGCCAGAGGCAGCAGGAAGGACAAGGGCGTCCAGCAGGTGGCAGTGGTGATCACAGACGGTGAATCCCAGGATGATGTCAGCAGGGCGGCGGCTGATCTGCGTCGAGCAGGCGTCACCGTTTACGCAGTAGGAGTCCAAAACGCCAATGAGGCGGAGCTGAAGCAGATAGCGTCTTACCCCACCAACAAACACGTCTTCATCGTGGACAGCTTCGCCAAACTGAAGTCACTGGAGCTGCTGCTGCAGAAGAGCATGTGTGTCAACATCATCCGGCAAGCGGTGACCGCCAAAACCAAAAAATCCAACATCAAAGAAGGTCAGAGACGAAGGAAAAACTAATACCTCTCATTAAAGAGAGGGGGCGCCACAGATTACATGGTGTGAAATAACAACAAAACTGATCTCTGTTTTCCAGGTTGTTTGCAGACGGATGAGGCCGACATCTTCTTCCTGATCGATCACTCCGGGAGCATCTACCCCACCGACTTCAGCGACATGAAGAAGTTCATCATCGAGTTCCTGCACACCTTCAGAATCGGCCCACAACACGTCCGCATGGGGGTCGCAAAGTACGCCGACGCACCCAACTTGGAGTTTGATCTGACGGCGTACTCAGACACCAAGTCCGTGGAGAACGCCGTGTTGGCCATACGGCAGGTGGGAGGCGGGACAGAGACGGGCAGAGCGCTGGATTTCATGAGCCCACACTTTGACAGAGCAGAGGTCACGCGGGGTCACAAAGTCCCAGAGTACCTGGTGGTCATCACTGACGGGGAATCCTCCGATGACGTCAAGGCTCCTGCACAGAAGCTGAGGGCGCAAGGGGTCAAAGTCTACGCCATCGGGGTGAAAAACGCAGACAAAGGAGAGCTGCTAGAGATCTCTGGTGACCCCAAGAGGACCTTCTTCGTCAATAATTTTGACGCTCTGAATCCGATCAAGGACGACATTATCACAGACATCTGCTCGCCAGACGGTAAGAGGGAAACATGGAGGTTTCAAATGTCCCAGTTTGTGTTGAACCTCGCTCACGTGTCCATGCTGCTTTCTCCACAGCTTGCAAAGACCAACCAGGTGACCTCATCTTCCTGATTGACAGCTCTGGGAGCATCTACCCTGAAGACTACATGAAGATGAAGGACTTCATGAAATCTGTGGTGGGAAAGTCCATCATCGGGCAGGACCAGGTGCATGTTGGTGTCATGCAGTTCAGCAATCGTCAACAACTGGAGTTCCCTCTGAAAACCCACTTCAGTCAGGACGAGATGTTGAGAGCCATCGGCAGTATGCAGCAGGTGGGTGGAGGCACGCTCACAGGTGCCGCCATCTCTCAGGTGTCGCAGTACTTTGACATGGCCCAGGGAGGACGGCCATACCTGAGGCAGAGGCTGGTGGTCATCACAGACGGCGAGGCCCAGGACGAGGTGAAAGGCCCCGCCGCGTCTCTGAGAGCGAAGGGAGTGTTGGTGTACGCCATCGGAGTGGTGGACGCTAACACCACCCAGCTGCTGGAGATCAGCGGGTCACCGGACAGGATGTACTCCGAGAGGGACTTTGACGCTCTGAAGGACCTGGAGAGTGAGGTGGCGCTGGAGCTGTGTGAGCCGGAGAGAGGTAAGAGCGGACCGGGTCTGAACCCGAACACAGTGACCTTATCACCACGACAAAGACAGGACACAAGCAAGATCAGGTCTACTGAGTCACACCAGACCAGACCGCACCATCAGACAGTTTTGATTTAGACGGTCTGTGATAGAAAACCAGATTAAGGTCGGAGTGAGTTCAGATTATGATCCTCCTCTAAACACGTTTATCTTTGTCTTTTTATTTCTAACCAGACTGTAAGAAGACCGAGAGAGCGGACATCATCTTCCTGGTGGACGGCTCCACCAGCATCACCCTCCCTAAGTTTCGAAGCATGCAGAAGTTTATGGAGTCCATGGTGAACCAAACCACAGTGGGCAAAGACCTGACCCGCTTTGGGGTCATCCTCTACTCCAATGACCCCAAATCTGTCTTCACTCTGAACCAGTACGAGTCCAAACGAGCCGTCCTGAACGCAATAACAGCCCTGAGATCTCCATATGGCGACACCTACACCGGGCGGGCTCTGGAGTACTCTCTGGAGTTCTTCAGCGCTCAGCATGGCGGTCGTGCGGATCTCCAAGTGCCGCAGATCCTGTTGGTGATCACAGACGGGGACGCCACTGACGCACACAATCTGGAGGCGCCATCTGTGGCTCTGCGGGATAACGGGATCAGCGTGTTCAGTATTGGCGTGGAGGGCGCCGACAGGGCGCAGCTGGCGATCATGGCCGGACAAGACATGTCCAAAGTTTTCTATGTGGACAACTTTGACGCCCTGGAAGGTCTTTACAAGAACATCACCGAGGAGATCTGCAACTCCACCAAGCCAGGTAAGACACTGGAGAGACACGGAGCAGTTTAGCTAACAGGACAGTCGATGGCAGCGTGGAGCTCGCCCTCATGGACTGAGCTCATGTCCGTCCAAATACTGTAAACAGACCAGGATTCAATCCGTCATCATACCGACCAGGAGCAAAGGTGAATAAAAGATGGCTTCCAATGTTACTAATACCAAAACAAGTAAAAGTGAGTTCATAACGATCACACACCAACATCGATACCACCTTAACGAAGAGGAAGTGAACCACCTTAACGAAGAAGAAGTGAACCACCTCACATTTCTGTGCTGTTTACTTCAGTACTCTGCTGCTCAGAGCTGCGCTGTGCACTCTCATCCTGACAGGGCTGACTTTGATCAACTTAAATATTGATCTGAATGGAGACGGGAAAGTCTTCCATGTCTTCATGTGGACTTCATGTTAACTCATTCAGTGCCACCATTGACCACAACAGAAACTTCCGTATCTTTCAGCGGGCTGAGGAAGTGTTCAGTAGGGCTGTCCTGATCTGATATTGATATCAAATATTGGTCCAATATCAGCAAATAAACTAAAATCATATTATATCTAAAATCTCTGATATCAGCAATCCGGTACAAACAGTCCATTCCAGACTCCGCTCCAGCACCTCTATCTGGCAGCACCCCGATCCAGCATGTAGAGCCCTCATCAGAGAGTGGACTAAGGTACGAACAGAGGAGAGAGGAGGAGGAGTGATGTCGGCCGTGTGGCTCTATTTTTGTTTAAGTCCGAGTGCAAAACCTTTAACAAACAAGTTTGTGCTGATATCGGATCAATATTGGTATCGACCAATACTGAAGGCTACAATATCTGTATCGCATTGGAAGTAAAACAGTTGTGTAGGTGTTCAGGTTGAAAAGCTGACACATACAGCTCACCCACGGGGTGGTTTCAGGACGTTCTCAGGTTAAAGTCTGACTCACATGGAGAACATACCAGAGTCTGAGCTTCTGTCTGAACCCTCGCCAGTTTTGAACTTCAATCAAAAGTGAAAAACTTCCTTCATCTCTTCCTTTTTTTCTCTTTGGCAGTGTGTGAAAAACAGAAGGCTGACCTTGTCTTCCTCCTGGATCAGTCCGGCAGCATCCAAACCAACGACTACGCCATCATGAAGAGGTTCACCACCGAGCTGATCAACAGCTTCAAAGTCAGCGAGGATTTAGTGCGAGTCGGATGTGCGCAGTTCAGCGACACCTTCCAGGATGAGTTTTACCTGAACAGGATGTACACTGCGGAGGATGTGAGCAAACACGTCCTGGGCATGACTCAGCGCGGTGGAGGCACCCTGATCGGTCGCGCCCTTGACTCCATCAGGGAGTACTTTGAGGCGTCGCGCGGCAGTCGGAAATCAGAGGGGATCTCCCAGAACCTGGTGCTGATCACAGACGGTGAGTCTCAGGACGACGTGGAGGACGCAGCAGACCGTCTCAGGGCTCTGGGGGTCGAGATGTTCGCCATCGGCATTGGAGACGTGCACGATCTTGAGCTGCTGCAGATCACCGGCACCCCGGAGAGGCTGTTCACGGTGCAGAACTTTGGCAGCTTGGAAAACATCAAGCAGAAGGTCATCGACACGATCTGCAAATCCAAACCTCCTGCAGATCTTTCCAGTGAGTAAAGAGACATGTTTGCTTTTCTCCTCATCTTCAGAGGGTTGGAGGTGACACCTAACTCAGATCCTTAACACTCAGATGTTCTTCCTCTACTTCAGGCTGCAGCATCGACATCGCCATGGGGTTTGACATTTCTGGGTCAAACAGAGCTCCAGGTGAACCGCTCTTCAGCAGCCACACCAAGCTGCAGACCTTCCTGCCGGAGATCGCCCAGTACGTGTCCGCCGTCCACGGCCTGTGCTGCGTCGGCCCCACCCCCATCAAGCCCAATCTGGCCTACCGGATGGTGAGTCGTGACGGGCGTGTGCTGTACGACACCAGCTTTGAAGCGTACAGCTCAGCCGTGGTGGACAAAGTCAAGAACTTGGCCCTGGAGCCCACGTTCTTCAACAGGGCCATGCTGCAGTCCTTCAAGCAGAAGATGAGCTCAGAATCCAGAGCGGGAGTGAAGGTGAGGCTTCATCCAGACTAGTTTTTAGATGGAGAGGACCGTGTACTCTGGTGTTTAACCATGTCTGTCCTCCTCCATCAGGTCCTGGTGATCTTCTCAGACGGACTTGATGACAATGTGATGAGTCTGGAGCAGGAATCGGACCTGCTGAGGGAATCTGGTAAAACTGGGAGATGAAGTTTAACGTAATAATTCCTCGTCTGTTGGAAACTGCTCATCAGAGTCTTCTTCTTCTTCTTCTTCTTCTTCTTCTTCTTCTTCTGCTGCTCCAATCCTGCAGGGATCAGCGCTCTCCTGGTGGTGGCTTTGGAGGGCGCCCGTGACCCCGCTCAGCTGCAGATGTTGGAGTTTGGACGAGGATTCGGCTACAAGGTTCCTCTGACCATCGGCATGGGGAGCGTCGGCAGCACCATCCTGAAACAGATCGTGAGTCAGTCGGAGTTTTAAGGTAATGGGCGGGGCTACCTTTGTCAATCAAAGGTAGCCCCGCCCTACATCCTCCACAGCGTCCTGGTTTTGTAAAAAAATGTACAAGATTCTGCAGGTAGTTTAGCTCCGCCCTCTGTCCTTTATGCTGCGTCCAAGTTACTTCGGAAGTCAGATTTCCGAGGTAACTTGGACACAGACAGACAGACAGTCAGTCAGTCAGTCAGTCAGTCAGTCAGTCAGTCAGTCAGTCAGTCAGACAGACAGACAGTCAGTCAGTCAGTCAGACAGTCAGTCAGTCAGTCAGTCAGTCAGTCAGACAGTCAGTCAGTCAGTCAGTCAGTCAGTCAGTCAGTCAGTCAGTCAGTCAGTCAGTCAGACAGACAGACAGTCAGTCAGTCAGTCAGTCAGTCAGTCAGTCAGTCAGTCAGTCAGACAGTCAGTCAGTCAGTCAGTCAGTCAGTCAGACAGTCAGTCAGTCAGTCAGTCAGACAGACAGACAGTCAGTCAGTCAGTCAGTCAGACAGTCAGTCAGTCAGTCAGTCAGTCAGTCAGACAGTCAGTCAGTCAGTCAGACAGACAGTCAGTCAGTCAGTCAGACAGTCAGTCAGACAGTCAGTCAGTCAGTCAGTCAGTCAGTCAGTCAGTCAGTCAGTCAGACAGACAGTCAGTCAGTCAGTCAGACAGTCAGACAGACAGTCAGTCAGTCAGTCAGTCAGTCAGTCAGTCAGTCAGTCAGACAGACAGACAGTCAGTCAGTCAGTCAGTCAGTCAGTCAGTCAGTCAGTCAGACAGTCAGTCAGTCAGTCAGACAGACAGTCAGTCAGTCAGACAGACAGTCAGTCAGTCAGTCAGACAGTCAGTCAGACAGTCAGTCAGTCAGTCAGTCAGACAGACAGACAGTCAGTCAGTCAGTCAGTCAGTCAGACAGTCAGTCAGTCAGTCAGTCAGTCAGCTGCAGACTGTTTTTTCCTGTTTTTCTCTGCAGCCTGTTTGGTCATTAATCTTGATTTATTGATGTTTATCCTGCTCTCACATGTTATTGATCCACATCAGCTGTTATTGATCCACATTAGTGGTTCTCACTCAGTCGTTAAGGGAACAGCACAGCTCTGTTAACGAGCAGGAGAGTCGAATAAAGAGAGTTTATTAAACTTGAGCAGCTGAAAGGTTTTAGTCTGATGAGAGTCAGAGGCTCCGGGTCTTCCTGTCCTGTCCTGGCGTGTCACTCCTCAGGAATGGAGACCATCAGACGGCCTCGGGGAGGATCTGAGCAGAAAATATTCTAATGATGCTGACTGTAGAAGAAAAGCTGTGAGTGAAGAAAACAAAAGAAGAAATCATGAGAGACGAGAGTCTGCTTTCAATTATGACGAGTTTGTAGGAGAGTCAGCGGGTTTACAGAAGAACTCATTAAAACCAGGATCTCACTCAGTCTGTCCTCAAACAGGTCCTCACTGTCAAAAGACCTGATCAACAGAGAGTGAAAATTCTCCGTTCAGGTCCTTTGATTCAGGATCTCAGTGTAGATGGTCGTTTTCTCAAAGTTTAAACATTTATAAAAAAGATGATCACCTGAAAACATCGACGAATATTTGAGGATTCAGACGTGATCCTGCTGACCTCGGATTAAAGGGTTAAATCTCTGAAGTCTTTCTTTCTCTCCTCCTGCAGGACACGGTGTCTGACAGAGAGTGCTGCAAAGTCATGTGCAAGTGTTCAGGACACGAAGGCATCCGAGGGTCCCGGGGCCCCCCAGGGTCGAAGGTGAGAGGAACACACACCTTCAGACTCTAAACATGGTGTCAGGAGCGTTTGGAGGAAAGTGTCAGAGAGATGAGAACAAGCAGACACATGCAGAGACCTCAGAGCCGCTTTATAGAGAGGAGGTCGAGGTCACGCTCACTCCCCGAGGTCATCGGGGGGCGGGGTTACTGTCATTAAATCAGAAATCAGTTCCTCTCAAGGGTGAAGAAAAGCTGGAATCAAACAGGAAGTCCAGTTTTTATTTGATGATTTCAGACACAGAGACTCTGAAACTGGAGGGTCTGATAACTGATGGAGACGACGCTGCACATGAACACCGTCACTCTGACTCCACCCATCAGTCAGCGTCTCACTCCACCCTCCACACACTCGTGCTAAAGACTGAATCAATGAAAATGCAGAAAAGCAGCAGGACGGCGTCTACAACAGAGTGACACCACAGTGCTCATGGGAAATGTAGTCTTCATCCTAGAAACGCACAGATCTTCTCTAAAGGCGTCACCATGGTTACCATGGTTACCATGGTTGCATCGATAACTAATCAGGAATATAAATGTGTATTTTAACAACTTTCCTCCTGTGTTCGTTTTCAGGGTGTCGTCGGACAGAAAGGTTACCCAGGATTCCCAGGAGAAGAGGGCGTGGCTGTAAGTTCTTCTTCTTTGTTTATTTGTTTGATCGGAGTTAAAGTCGCTGAAGTGACGCTGCAGATGAAGAAGAGGAGTGACCCGACAGACGTGTTGACTGATGAATCTTCACTCTCTCTGTTTGTGCTGCAGGGCGATCGAGGCCATCCTGGACCCAGTGGACCTCAGGGTATCCAGGGCTGCCCGGGGCTCAGAGGGACGAAGGTTCGACTCTTATTAAAGCTCCTGTTGTTTGAAGGGTCGTGCATATTTAGGTGTCGGATATTAACGATGTGTCTCTGACTCCTGCAGGGCTACAGAGGGATCCGAGGAAACAGGGTGAGTCAGTGAAGGGAGGAAGTCATGTGACCTGAAGGTCCAGAGAGACTCAAACGGAGGATCAGAGCGCCGCAGTGACACACGGTTCTGTTTTAAATCCACAGGGTGAAAACGGAGACGACGGGCTGAACGGGATCAACGGAGAACAGGTACGAAAAACCAGCAGGGACACACCCGATCATCTGGACCAGGTTCTGGGGTCCAGAGGAAACCCTGCAGATCTGTTATAGATCTAAACATCTAAACCCTTAAAGTCCTCGGGGCTTCGATCAGAATCCTGCAGGTCTGAGTCTCAGTGTTTATGAAGGTGTCATCGGTTCTGGATCCATGAGTCATCTGGACCAGGATCCTCAGAAACACAGACCTGCTGACTCTAGATTTAGTATTTCTATAATAGATTCACTTCAGTGTCTCTTTAAGGAGGAAAACCTTCATGTTTGGTTCTGTGGGGGTCTCAGATGGAGGTCTCAGAGTGGTTCTGACCCACTTCCTGTGATCTCCATGAGATGGTTCCTCCTCTGATGTGGAGATTCCTCATATCTGTGTTTGTGTTTCCTTAATGAGCGGGCGTGTTCAGGAAGCAGCTGATTGGAGGGTTTTTTCTGTGTTTTCAGGGCGTGACGGGAGCCGGCGGGAGCCGAGGAGAGCGAGGAGACCCCGGAGACCCCGTAACAAACTCACTTTATTTTTAAAATCAGAGTTTCTGACTTTTATTCCCGTTTTAATCCGTTTTAATCTGCTGATAATCTCAAACCGAAAATCAGAGCGCCGGTCCTTCAGAGGAGGTTCTGACCTTGAATCTGGGGGGAGGTGACCTTTAACCTCCTGCTCGTTGATTGACAGGCTGAACTGTCACCCTCAGGGTATCCCAGGTATCAGAGGAGAGGCGGGGCTTAAAGGACAGCGAGGACTGCGTGGAGATCCGGTGAGTAAAGTCTGTGACAGGGTTCAGGATCTCTTTATTCTCTGCAGAGATTTTCTTCTCTCTGACAGATTTATGACAGAATAAGGAGGAGAGGAGTGAAGAGGAGCTGTCAGAGTGAAACCTCAGAACCTCAAAGAGGAGCTGAGCAGGATCAGGGCGCTCTGACTTTATTCACGTTTCAGCTCCAAACATGACGAGGAACTTCCTGCTGCTGTTTACTGAACTCAGGAGATGAAGGAGGAAGTCCTTCACAGCTGATCGATGAGGTTCACACTTTTGAGCCGGTCTTAAAGTTAGACCCCGTCCTCAGACTCTCTGGAGACCACAGTCCCTCTATCTTCAGCTGATTACAGATCCGTTAAACACAGCTGGAGAACAGCTGGACGCTCCACAGAAACCCAAACACTGAGTCGAGTTGATCTTTAACGCCGCTCCGTGTTTGTCTGTCAGGGGGAACCAGGAGCCGATAACACCGTCCCAGGAGCCAAGGGGGACCCTGGGAACGCTGGTCTACCGGTAAGAACCGCCTCAGACTGAAACAGGAGTTTTGTTTTTACAGTTCAGTGTCTGACGTGTTTCCACCCTCAGGGCCCACCTGGAGAGGACGGACGGCCAGGTGAGAGCGGCGTCGTTGGAAACCGGGTGAGATTTTTAAAAGTTCATTTTCTCACGATTAACTCGATTAACTCGATTAACTCGATTAACTCGATTAACTCGATTAACTCGATTAACACGAGTAAGTCTCTGAAACTCAGAGAAACTTCCAGATTTGGTCAAAATTTTATTAGTTTCTTTGATATTTAAAGGAAAAGTCGATTTGAGCCGAGGTTTGAGACGGGACCGAGAGGATAATCCTGAGTCTGAGACTCACCTGAGAGTAAATGAAACGTCCTGCAGCAGGAGAATTCTCTCGATAAGAAGAAACTGTGAAAATATTCTCCCTGTTTCCTTTTTTCAGCTCTAAATATTTGTTGAAGTAAAAGTTTCTAAACGTCGCGGTGAAATACTGACGAGAAGTCGGGTACGAGACAGGAAGTAGTTTTATCTCAGCCGTGCACGCTCAGTGAGCGTGAACACATTTATATAGTTCATTGTTCACGTATCTGCTCTCAGTTAGAGCGCCACCTGGTGGAAACATGAAATCCCACGCTGTCACTTTGTAACATGTTGGCGACATTTCAAACTCCGATCACTCTGCAGAAGTTCAGTTTTCAAACCAGACCCCTACTGGCTACAGGAAGTTACTGCGTCTAATTAACAACTCCAGCTGTTTTTATTCTAATGGACATTCAGCGCCCCCTGCTGTTTGAGAATCAGTGTTTGACTGCAGAGGATCTTCTAGAGATGTGGGTCAGTCATAAACACAGAACAGACACCCGAGTAAATATGGAGGACACGCCTGCAAAGGGTTCTGGTCCTGTGGACTTCCTGCAAAGGGTTCTGGTCCTGTGGACTTCCTGCAAAGGGTTCTGGTCCTGTGGACTTCCTGCAAAGGGTTCTGGTCCTGTGGACTTCCTGCAGGACTCGGTCTGAAAGTGTTTCTTCTTCTGCTCCTCAGGGTCAGGATGGACGGAGAGGGTCACCTGGAGTGAAGGTACGAGAGGAATCCAGACCACGCCCACAGCTGTTCGAGACACATTAATACACCAGTAAACATGCTGAGAGTGTGTGTGTGTGTGTGTGCGTGTGCGTGCGTGCGTGCGTGCGTGCGTGCGTGCGTGCGTGCGTGCGTGCGTGTGCGTGTGTGTGTCCTGCAGGGTTCACGTGGAGAACCTGGAGATCAGGGCAGCAAAGGCAGCCCAGGAGCTTCAGGTCCACAGGTGAGTGATGAGACCAGGATCAGGTGGTTCATCAGCTGAGAGGTCGTTAACTACAGCTAGACTCTGTCTCCGCAGGGTTCCAGAGGGGTCGGAGGTCAACCTGGACCTAGAGGGGTCCCCGGCCTGCCTGGACCTCAGGTCAGTTCATCATCTCCACATCTCCAACCCTGTTGTAACTCAGCTGACCTCAGAGCAGCACTGAGGAATGTGAAAGAGGTCGAGGTGAGAGTTTTCCCTCAGAGGAGGAGCAGCAGGGTCACCTGATGGAGTTCAGGTCTGAAGAAGAAGAAGAAGAAGAAGAAGAAGAAGAAGAAGGAGAAGAAGAAGAAGAAGAAGAAGAAGAAGAAGAAGGAGAAGAAGAAGAGACGAGGTTTCTCTGAGAGAGAGAGAGAGAGAGAGGCGCAAAACTCTGAGAGATTTCAGAGTCGGAAACTTTCATGAGAATTAAGGAGAATAAATCTGAAGGTCGTCCTGAAGGTCGGTCCTGAAGGTCGGTCCTGAAGGTCGGTCCTGAAGGTCGGTCCTGAAGGTCGGTCCTGAAGGTCGGCCCTGAAGGTCGGTCCTGAAGGTCGGTCCTGAAGGTCGGTCCTGAAGGTCGGTCCTGAAGGTCGGTCCTGAAGGTCGGTCCTGAAGGTTGGTCCTGAAGGTCGGTCCTGAAGGTCGGTCCTGAAGGTCGGTCCTGAAGGTTGGTCCTGAAGGTCGATCTTGAAGGTCGGTCCTGAAGGTCGGTCCTGAAGGTCGGTCCTGAAGGTCGGTCCTGAAGGTCGGTCCTCCACAGGAACTTCAATATAGTCGGTGAAAATATCTTGTTTTATAATCTTGACTAAAACAACCAGATTTAACGAGAGTCCACTCCTCAGTCACATGATCACACTGTTTACTGCAGGTTATTGAGGCCACACCCCCTACATGCTCTGGTCACTCCTCCATCACGTGATTGACAGATGATTTCTCGAACCCTGGAGGCCAAAGACGTTTGAGTCGACCGACTTTAGAGAGTCAAGTTCTGATAATATTCTGGGGTCAATAGATTTGATCAATAATAGTTTTAATATTTCAATAAAAACTGGAGCTAAATGTTATTTTTATGTCATCGACCTTTAAGGGTCGAGGTCATCATGGCGGCGGTCGTTTCCTCAGATTCTGTTTCTCCTGACAGACGGTTTTCTGTAACCAAACCATCAATTATTGATCAACTATCAAATATTTTAAAGACCGTTCAGCTGTTTATCGACTATATTTCTGTTCATGACATTATGTCAACATTTATGTTGAATTTGACAGTTTGTTTAAATTTCCCCCAATTTCCAGTTAATTCCCAAAATAAGTTTCTAATGTGGATTATTTCCAAAATTCCCGTCTTCACTTCTCATGAAAAGTTTCTGGAAAGTTTCCGCCCCTTTGCAGCCCGACTGAGAGACGATCAGCTGACTGAACAGACGGGCAGGTTCTCTTCTCCTCCTCCTCAGAGGGTTCGATTAGTAAGAAGGAAAAATCTGCAGAATTTCCTCTTGACTGAAGGAAAAGTTTCTAAAACAGTTTCATGGTCCCCCCCCCCCTCACAGCTGACTCAGTGAAGTTTCATCAGATTCAGTCTCAGAGTTTAACGGTGAAGTCTGGGTTAGATTAGCGGCTGTCATCTCCGACGCCTTAATTACAGCGAATCTTAAATCCTGAACTCTGACAGATCTGGTCTGGGACTGATCTGGTCTTCAGAGTCCTGACGCCTCACTAAAGTAGACAGAAGAAATAGATCCGTGAAGATAGATGTTTGTCGCTCCTCATACAGACGAGTTTGTTTGGAGTTTCAGTTTAACACTCGGCTGTCAGTCGTTGATCCTGAGACCTTCAGTGATGGTCCTGGTTCCTCTCGCTCATCAGAAAGTCGTCCCCGCCCACTTTAGTTGAAGTTAAAATATTTTGACTTTCTCTTGATCTCAGGGAGCTCCAGGACAACCTGGAGGTCCGGGTGCAGCTGGACGCCGTGGAGCCAACGGACAGAAGGTTAGTGACCTCATCATCAGACCTTCACATGACCAGTTCAACCAAGTATGAACGCTGACGCCTGTGTCCTTCAGACCTTTTGGGACCAGAATAGAGGTCTGTCACAAACCTCGAAGTCCACTTAAAGAAGGTCTACAGAGGAGAGCAGAACTCCTCCTGTTTAGTGAAAATGTAAACGGTTGTTGGTGTAAAGAGCCAAAAGTGAGAGTGATGAACATTATTGAGAAGATGATGATGAAGAACTCAGATTTCTTCTTCTCACACGGTGATGGTGTGAGTCTACATGACTTCATGAACTTCGCTCAGACCCACAGGAAGAACATTAACCTCCAGGTTTACTGGAGATCAATGATCAACTTTTATTTTTCCATGTCTCAGTTCGTCCTCTCTGTCCTGTTGAATCCTGTCTCTGATGTGTAACTCTGTTTTTGGTCTGAAAGTAAAACCTGACTCTTGTTCCGGGTGCAGGGCCAACCAGGAGACTCGGGTGATAAGGGGGTCCCAGGATCTCAGGGACCTCGAGGGATGCCGGTAAACGTCTCTTCTGTGTTTGTTAACGTAGAGTTTGGTTTGTTAGAAGAACGATGAAACGGTGAAACGCAGCATCAGAACATGTTCACACAGTCACGGTGCAGCTCCTTCACCTGCGGAGAAGTTTCATGGAGATGTTGATTTCTTATGGAGACTCTTAGGGCGACTAAACACCTGCCCACAGCGCCAAAACTCAACGTAACCGTGTCTGATGAACGAGAAACCCGAACCCTCCAAATCCAAACCAAGAAGACTTGAATTCTTCTGTTTTTCACGTCATGAACAGAAGAATAAATGAACTCTGATTTATCGTCTGTCCGGGTTTTGGTGTGTGGGATGTGATGTGGTCTCTGTCTGTCCTGTTTCAGGGTCAGGATGGTAAAGACGGGTACGGACCTCCGGGACCCAACGGACCGAAGGTGAGTGAGATGTTTGATCAAATGTGAAAATGTAAATGTTGAGAAATCCACTCTGAGTCTTTGCTCCTGTCTTCACAGGGAGATCCTGGTTTCCCTGGTTACCCCGGTCTTCCAGTGAGTACAGCAGATCAGATAAATCCAGTCCCACCTAAAAGAGAAACCCACCGTGGTCTGGATGAACACGGACGATGATCGAGGATCTGTGGGCCCTAAAACCAGATTTCCTCTGAACATCACAGAGAAGAAAGAGCAGAGCGAATGTTTCCACTTCATTAAGATCCATCATAAATCACAGAACCAAACCCCAGTGTAAAAACAGCCGATTTAAGCTGGAGTGGTTTTCTGCTGTGTCAGTGTGGGCAGAGTCTCAGACCGCAGACTTTGTAAAGTCAACAGAGCTGAAGGACAGAGAGTCGGGATGAAAAAACACATTTTTATTTATCTTACAACAAAAATCACAAACACTGAATATTTGGATATTTATGGATCCATCAGGGTCCAAATCTGAGCGAAGGAATCAGAACAGCTGTGTGATGAAGATGTCTCTGTGTCCAGGGTGAGGACGGCCTGCAGGGACCGAAAGGATATCCAGGACGTAAAGGAAACCAAGGTCGACCCGTGAGTGTTTGTGTTTACTCTGATCAGCTGATCACAGATGTCATTGATTTAACCTTCATTAAGCAGGAGTGTCTGTTTGAGATTAAAAACCTCCTTTTCTAAGGAGTCCAGTCACAGATGATCAACCTTCAGGGTCTTGGAGCTCGATAAAAAGATTTCTTCACTTTGATGATGAAGATGAAGATGACTGAAGTCGGGTTCTGCTTCATCACTGACTCCTCTCTCTGTTTTCACTGATCCAGGGTAACTCAGGCAGACCAGGAGATTCAGGTTCACCTGGAGATCCAGGATATGCAGGACACAGGGTGAGGACCATCATCATCATCATCATCATCGTTAATCATTGTCTGTCTCCTCCTGTCGGATCACTGCCCACTCTTTAATGAACTGAAGGACATCCTGAGTGAACGTTCAGCACGTCTGATCCAACAGTAACTGTGGGCTGTGATAAAAACACTCACACTGTGTTTTCAGTGACGTGTTCTCTCTCCCTTTAGCTCCTCCTCCCTGAAGACTTCTTGTTGTTTTATTGATTTTATGATCTCTGTTGATCACGTCTTCCTGCCAAAGGGACTGAAGATGAAAATGACCCTTTATACCCGATCATGTCTTTGTGTTTGTCTTCATTATTATGTTTTTGTCCCGGTCTTAAATTATATAAATCCTAAATCCACAAACTTCAGCTCTGAGGGAAAACTGGCGTCTCTCACTCCTGATTGGCTGATTTATTGTCCTCTGAGATGTGAGGTCTGGACTCAGCTCTCAGCTCAGATGACAGTTGGACTAAAGTCTGTTCTGGTCTTTTAGGGTCCAAGAGGTCCTCCTGGAGACAAAGGAACCGTAAGACCACCTTTAATTCACTTAACATGAAGAAAACGACCAATCAGTGTTTTTATGAGTCTGTCTGTCTGTTTGTCTGTCTGTCTGTCTGTCTGTCTGTCTGTCTGACTGACTGACTGACTGACTGTCTGTCTGTCTGTCTGTCTGTCTGTCTGTCTGTCTGACTGTCTGTCTGTCTGTCTGTCTGTCTGTCTGTCTGTCTGTCTGTCTGTCTGTCTGTCTGTCTGTCTGTCTGTCTGTCTGTCTGTCTGTCTGTCTGTCTGTCTCCTCAGGAGTGTCAGCTGGTCACCTACATCAGAGAGAACTGTGGTGAGTGTCTTTAATAGTACAGAAAAACTAGAGATCTTCTCCTCCTCCTCCTCCTCCTCTCTCCTCTCTCCTCCTCCTCTCCTTATTTCTCCTCTCTTCTCCTCCTTCTCCTCCTCCTCCTCTCTTCTCCTCCTCTCCTTATTTCTCCTCTCTTCTCCTCTCCTCCTCCTCCTCTCTTCTCTCTCCTCCTCCTCCTCCTCCTCCTCTCTTCTCTCTCCTCCTCCTCCTCTCTCCTCCTCCTCTCTTCTCCTCTCTTCTCCCCTCTCTTCTCCTCCTCCTCCTCTCTCCTCCTCTCTCCTCTCTCCTCCTCCTCTCTCAGAATTCGTTATTTGTCGTTGTTTTATTCTGACTCCTCTCCTTATTTCTCCTCTCTCCTCCTCTCTCCTCCTCCTCCTCCTCTCCTTATTTCTCCTCTCTTCTCTCTCCTCCTCCTCCTCCTCTCCCTCTCTCCTCCTCTCTTCTCTCTCCTCCTCCTCTCTTCTCTCTTCTCCTCCTCCTCCTCTCTCCTCCTCCTCTCTTCTCTCTTCTCCTCCTCCTCCTCTCTCCTCCTCCTCTCTCAGATTTCGTTATTTGTCGTTGTTTTATTCTGACTCCTCTCCTCCTTCCTCCTCTCTCCTCTCTTCTCCTCCTCTCTCCTCCTCCTCCTCCTCTCCTTATTTCTCCTCTCCTCTTCTCTCCTCCTCCTCTCTTCTCCTCTCTTCTCCTCCTTCTCCTCCTCCTCCTCTCTCCTCCTCTCTTCTCCTCCTCCTCCTCTCTCCTCTCTCCTCCTCTCCTCTCTCCTCTCTCCTCCTCTCTTCTCCTCCTCCTCCTCTCTTCTCCTCCTTCTCCCCTCTCCTCCTCCTCCTCTCTTCTCCTCCTCCTCTCTCCTCCTCTCTTCTCTCTCCTCCTCCTCTCTTCTCCTCCTCCTCCTCCTCCTCCTCCTCTTCTCTCCCCTCTCCTCCTCCTCCTCTCTTCTCCTCCTCCTCCTCCTCCTCCTCTCTCCTCTCTTCTCCTCCTCTCTTCTCCTCCTCCTCCTCTCTTCTCCTCCTTCTCCCCTCTCCTCCTCCTCCTCTCTTCTCCTCCTCATCCTCCTCCTCCTCTCTCCTCTCTCCTCCTCTCTCCTCCTCCTCTCTCAGAATTCGTTATTTGTCGTTGTTTTATTCTGACGTTTCTCCTCCTTCCTCCACAGCCTGCTCCATCGGTACGTATCTCCATGGTAACCTTCTCTGCAGTTCAGTGAGTAAAGTTCTCGCTGAGTTCAGCCTCTCGTGTCTCTGCGGCGGCGGCGGCGAGGAGGATTCTTGACGTCAGACGACAGAAACACTAAACTTATTCACCGCCGTATAAAAACGCACACAGGTGTGTTTTTTTGTTTAGTCGACTTCCTGCAGACAAACATGTTTGGGTAGGTTCTCCTGAAGCTGGACTCAGACGTTCATGCTCCTCTGAGGTTTAACCACAATCACTCTGACCATGACTCTGACAGTCCAATCAGGAACCTTTCCTCAGCGCCACACTGACCTTCAGGTTTGTCCAGTCTGAGTGAAAACAGGAAGTGTTTGAACATGTGAAACCGTCGTCCAGGTGACCTCCAGGTGACCTCCAGGTGACCTCCAGGTACGTCCTCACACAGGTCTCTACAGCTGCACCGTTCATCTCTTCTTCGTTGGTTTCCAGGTCGCTCAGAGTGTCCCGCCTACCCCACTGAGCTGGTCTTCGGTCTGGACATGTCTGAGGACGTGACCCCGGCGGCCTTTGAGCGGCAGCGCTCCGCCCTCCTCTCCCTGCTGGAGGACGTCTCCATCGCCGAGAGCAACTGTCCAACCGGCGCCCGCGTGGCCGTGGTGGGATACAGCAGCTACACCAAGTACCTGATCCGTTTCCAGGACTACCGCCGCAAGGCGCAGCTGATCGAGTCGGTGAAGAACATCGCCCTGGAGAGGACGTCAAACAGACGCCAGCTAGGCGCCGCCATGCGCTTTGTGGGCCAGCATGTCTTTAAACGAATCAGAGCGAGCGTGATGATGAGGAAGGTGGCCGTCTTCCTCTCTAACGGTCCGACACAGGATGTAGGAGACGTTGTGACCGCCATGATGGAGTACCGCGGCCTCAACATCGTCCCGGCTGTCGTCTCTCTGAGGAACGCTCCGGCCTTGGGTCGGGCGATGGAGGTGGGTCTGAATTCTGTTTGGGGTTTATAAAGTCCATCAGGACTCTCAGAACCGGGTTTTCATACAGCTGTGGACTTTTACTGTGTTCTGGTTACCATGGTGATCGGAGCTGGGAATGACGTGACACCCGAGTGGACAGCAGTCCAGTAAACAAGTCGGTAAACCAAGATGGACGCCTACTGTTACCCCATGTTAGCTGTCGTTAGCGGTTGTTACCGATTGTTAGCTGTTGTTAGCAGTTGTTAGCTGTTGTTAGCTGGTGTTAGCGGTTGTTAGCTGGTGTTAGCGGTTGTTAGCTGTTGTTACTGTTAGCTGTTGTTAGCTGTTGTTAGCGGTTGTAAGCTGTTGGCTGTTGTTAGCTGTTGTTAGCGTTTGTTAGCGGTTGTTAGTGGTTGTTAGCTGGTGTTAGCGGTTGTTAGCGGTCGTTAGCGGTTGTTAGCTGTTGTTAGCGGTTGTTAGCTGTGTTAGCTGTTGTAAGCGGTCGTTAGTCGTTGTCAGTTGTTGTTAGTCGTTGTTAGCTGTTGTTAGTCGTTGTTAGTCGTCGTTAGCTGTTGTTAGCTGTTGTTAGCGGTTGTTAGCTGTTGTTAGCGGTTGTTAGCTGGTGTTAGCGGTTGTTAGCTGTTGTTAGCGTTTGTTAGCGGTCGTTAGTCGTTGTTAGCTGTTGTTAGTCGTTGTTAGTCGTTGTTAGCTGTTGTTAGCGGTTGTTAGCTGGTGTTAGCGGTTGTTAGTCGTTGTTAGCTGTTGTTAGCTGTTGTTAGCGGTTGTTAGCTGTTGTTAGTCGTTGTTAGTCGTTGTTAGCTGTTGTTAGCTGTTGTTAGCGGTTGTTAGCTGGTGTTAGCGGTCGTTAGTCGTTGTTAGCTGTTGTTAGCTGTTGTTAGCGGTTGTTAGCTGTTGTTAGCAGTTGTCAGCTGTTGTTAGCGGTTGTTAGCTGGTGTTAGCGGTTGTTAGCTGTTGTTAGCGTTTGTTAGCGGTCATTAGTCGTTGTTAGCTGTTGTTAGTCGTTGTTAGTCGTTGTTAACGGTTGTTAGCTGTTGTTAGCGGTTGTTAGCGGTCGTTAGCTGTTGTTAGCGGTCGTTAGCTGTTGTTAGCGGTCGTTAGCTGTTGTTAGTTGTTGTTAGACGTTGTTAGCGTTTGTTAGCTGTTGTTAGCTGTTGTTAGCTGTTATTAGCGTTTGTTAGCTGTTGTTAGCTGTTGTTAGCGTTTGTTAGCTGTTGTTAGTTGTTGTTAGCTGTTGTTAGCGTTTGTTAGCGGTCATTAGTCGTTGTTAGCTGTTGTTAGTCGTTGTTAGTCGTTGTTAACGGTTGTTAGCTGTTGTTAGCTGTTGTTAGCAGTTGTCAGCTGTTGTTAGCGGTTGTTAGCTGGTGTTAGCGGTTGTTAGCTGTTGTTAGCGTTTGTTAGCGGTCATTAGTCGTTGTTAGCTGTTGTTAGTCGTTGTTAGTCGTTGTTAACGGTTGTTAGCTGTTGTTAGCGGTTGTTAGCGGTCGTTAGCTGTTGTTAGCGGTCGTTAGCTGTTGTTAGCGGTCGTTAGCTGTTGTTAGTTGTTGTTAGACGTTGTTAGCGGTCGTTAGCTGTTGTTAGCTGTTGTTAGTTGTTGTTAGCTGTTGTTAGCGGTCGTTAGCTGTTGTTAGTTGTTGTTAGACGTTGTTAGCGTTTGTTAGCTGTCGTTAGCTGTTGTTAGCTGTTGTTAGCGGTCGTTAGCTGTTGTTAGCGTTTGTTAGCGGTCGTTAGCTGTTGTTAGCGTTTGTTAGCGGTCGTTAGCTGTTGTTAGCGGTCGTTAGCTGTTGTAAGCTGTTGTTAGCTGTTGTTAGCGTTTGTTAGTTGTTGTTAGTCGTTGTTAGCTGTTGTTAGCTGTTGTTAGCTGTTGTTAGCTGTTGTTAGCGGTTGTTAGCTGTTGTTAGCGGTCGTTAGCTGTTGTTAGCTGTTGTTAGCGGTCGTTAGCTGTTGTTAGCTGTTGTTAGCTGTTGTAAGCGTTGTTAGTTTGCTGTTGTTAGCTGTTGTTAGTCGTTGTTAGCGGTTGTTAGCTGTTGTTAGCTGTTGTTAGCTGTTGTTAGCGGTTGTTAGCTGTTGTTAGCTGTTGTTAGCTGTTGTTAGCTGTTGTTAGCGGTCGTTAGCTGTTCCAGTTGTAAACCACACAGTATTTCACTCGTACAAACGCCGCAGCAGCAGCGTGTTCACAGTTAGCTGTCAGGCCGTCGAACAGAAACTGATTTAATTTCCTAAAATCAAACAGATGTGATAAATAATTAAAACATTACGAGATCTTCAGTGTTACTCTTCACTGTTGATGAACTGCGCTGCCATCTTGGATTATGACGTTGTCGTCGAGGCGGGGTTGGCGAGGATCGTCCGACTTTCCGATGCGACTTTCCGATCCGACTTCAGGGGGGCGTTCCAGATGAATTTTCGACTTGGAGCTCGGAAGCCGAACCTCAGAATATTCCAGAACCGCAGAGTCAGAGTCAGTCGCTCCGAGCTTTTATAACTTTATTATTGACTCTGTCGTCTGATTGGTCGACTCTGGTTAAAAACACGGAGGTCTGTGTCGTCTCTGATGTTGTTTTCAGAGTTCTTACTTTTCCTCCTCTCGATCAAATAACCATCCGACTCTCCGCCCTCTTTAACTCCAGCCAACGCTCTCTGTCCATCATCAGGTGGATATCTGGGTTGGTCCTGATCCAGGTATGCTGAGACTGGGCTGACCCGGTTCTGTAAATCCAAAGCGAACCCCTCAGGTCTAAACAGGACTCTAACAAACACAGAACAGACTATCATTCATTCTCGGTGTTTGCTTATCTCAGCTCAGAGGAGGCTCTCCTCTCCAACTCACTAACATATGACTTCATTCAGCTCCCTCAGCGACTCGTCTCCCTTTTTGGCCGAGTTTTCACCCACCAGCAGCCGCCAGAACTTCATCCAGAGCGTTCATAAGAGAGGAGATAAGCGGGCGGCTCTTTCACTGGAAAAGAGACTGTATCAGAGTACTGATTGAATGTTTTTAGTCTCTGAAGTGTCCTGACCTCCCGTCCCCGTCCTCAGAGCTGTGATTAATGTCTGTTTCTCATCAGGTCGATGACTCAGGAAACTCCATCTTCACGGTGCTGGGGAGGGACATGGCTGCCGACCTCAGCAAGGTCAAGAACTGTGCGATCTGTTACGGTGAGATGGATTCATCATAACCATAAAATTCAGAGTGACGTGGTTCAGCTGGAAACACTTTTTCAGGAGCTCCAGTTTGATCTGAACTTCTTCATGAAACAGGAGGAGAAGAAAAAAGTGGTTAAAATAAAATAAAAAAGTTTTATGAACTTCGTCAGCAGCTGTTTTCAACCACTAATGTCAAAATGTTGTCGGAAACTTTCTTAGCTTCATTAAGCTTTTATTACAACTACATAAAACCTTTATTAAGCCTTAATTACACCCTCACTAACACCTTTATTACACCTGTAACTAAGCCTTTATTCTGACTGTAATAAAGCGTTTCGTAAACTTGTAATGTAGCCTAAATTAAGACTTTATTACCGTCGTTACAAAGACATTATTCAGCATTTACTTTACCGACAAACAAAAGCCTTCAGTAAGCATTCATCACACCTGTAATAACACCTTTATAACACCTGTAATAACACCTCTATAACACCTGTAATAACACCTTTATAACACCTGTTATAACACCTCTATGACACCTGTAATAACACCTTTATAACACCTGTAATAACTACTTTAACACAGGAGTAACAACATCGTTTATAAGCCACTTTTTCACCTTTAATTACACCTCTATGACACCTGTAATAACACCTTTATAACACCTGTAATAACTACTTTAACACAGGAGTAACAACATCGTTTATAAGCCACTTTTTCACCTTTAATTACACCTCTATGACACCTGTAATAACACCTGTAATAACACCTTTATAACACCTGTAATAACTACTTTAACACAGGAGTAACAACATCGTTTATAAGCCACTTTTTCACCTTTAATTACACCTCTATGACACCTGTAATAACACCTCTATAACACCTGTAATAACACCTCTATGACACCTGTAATAACACCTCTATGACACCTGTAATAACACCTCTATAACACCTGTAATAACACCTCTATAACACCTGTAATAACACCTCTATGACACCTGTAATAACACCTCTATAACACCTGTAATAACACCTCTATGATACCTGCAATAACACCTCTATGACACCTGTAATAACACCTCTATGATACCTGCAATAACACCTCTATGATACCTGTAATAACACCTCTATAACACCTGTAATAACACCTCTAAAACACCTGTAATAACACCTGTAATAACACCTCAATAACACCTGTAATAACACCTTTATAACACCTGTAATAACACCTCAATAACACCTGTAATAACACCTTTATAACACCTGTAATAACACCTCTATAACACCTGTAATAACACCTCTGACACCTGTAATAACACTTCTATAGCACCTCTATAACACCTGTAATAACACCTCTATAACACCTGTAATAACACCTCTATAACACCTGTAATAACACCTCTATAACACCTGTAATAACACCTCTGACACCTGTAATAACACCTTTATATCACCTGTAATAACACCTTTATAACACCTGTAATAACACCTCTATGACACCTGTAATAAAGACTCATTAAGGCTTCGTTACAGTCGTAAAGACACCTTTATAACAGCTCTAATGGATCTTTATGAAGACCGTATCGAACCCGGGCTGATTCCTGCGTTGAGTCGTGGTCACACCCTTCTCCGTTTCCTCCTCAGACCTTCAGAAGCAGTTTTGGTTCCTCCGTAGTGACCTTCTCCGTTTCCTCCTCAGACCCCTGTCGGCGCTCAGCTCAGTGCTCCTTCATCCAGGAACAGGTCCAGCCTCAGCAGGCCGACGTGGACCTGGTCCTGGTGCTGGACGGCTCCAGGGAGGTGAAGGCTGACGAGTACGCCGGCGCCCAGCAGCTTCTGGGTTCTGTGGTGGAGCAGCTGGCTGTGAGCCCAGAACCCGGCAGACCCGGAAACCAGGCCCGGGTGGCTTTAGTCCAGCAGGGCAGCACACAGGCTCTGAAGGAGGAGTTTGGACTGCAGAGGTACCAGAACCAGGACCTGATGAAGAGGCACCTGATCCAGAACGTGAGGCAGCAGGGCGGCTCCGCCTCCATGGGACTGACGCTAGAGTTCGCCTTGAAGAAGGTCCTCCTGAACGCCAAGCAGGCCCGGAAGAGGAGGGTGCTGCTGACCGTGGTGGGCACCCAGACCGCCTACGAGGACCGGGCCAAGCTGCGCTACATCTCCCAGAAGGCCAAGTGTGAGGGGGTGGCGCTGTTCGTGGTGACGGTCGGCGAGCGCTACAGCCGGACTCAGGTGGAGGAGCTGGCCGGTCTGCCCGCGAATCAGCACCTGGTCCACGTCAGCAGACTGGACGCTGAGGAGCAGGGCTACTGCCGACGCTTCTTCAGGGTCTTCCTGTCCGCCATGAACCGTAAGAACGCCGCCGGACTGAACCAGATCCACCAAATCCAGGTCCAAATCCTGAACCCTGACATCTGCGCTCCGTTTCTGTTTCAGGGGGACTCAACACGTACCCGCCCCCTTCGTTAAAGAGAACATGTGACCAGCTGACGGAGCAGGACCGAGGACAAACAATCAACGGGTAAACACGCCGTCTGCAGGGTCACGACCCTGAAAAGACCAGAATCAGGGTCTGAACGGGACCAGACCGGATCCAGTTTAACAGAGTTTTAGTTCTGACCCGCTCTGTGTGTGTGTGTGTGTGTGTGTGTGTGTGTGTGTGTGTGTGTGTGTGTGTCTGTGTGTGTGTGTGTGCGCAGTCAGGACGTGTTCATAAACGGCGCCTTCGTGGAGGAGGAGGAGGAGGAGGAGGAGAGCTTCCAGGAGCACAAAGGAGGACAGACTCAGACGGGACAGCTGGACATCATCGAGACTCTGATCCGAGGAGACGGACAGAGAGTGGTGTCTGCAGCCAACATCAACGGTAACACACACACATGAACACACACACATGAACACACACACTCTCACACACACACACACACACACACACACACACACACACAGACACACACACACAGACACACACTCACTCACACACACACACTCGTAAAATGAAACTCTGGAGTGGATTAAAACAAACTCACAGATTACACAGATTACAGATTAATCTGAAGTCGTCGACCTCGGGACGATAAAATCATGACGACTCAAAAATACGTCTCAGAGACTTGAACCAAAAGCAGCTGATGAGGTGTTCCCAGTCCTGATGCTGCCCCCTGGAGGCAGGAGAGTTTATCACACCACACAGAATAAAGACTGTTTGAACAGAAACACTTTAAACACAGATGAAGATGATGATGATGATGATGAAGATGATGATGATGATGATGAAGATGATGATGATGATGAGTCTGTCCTCTAGATGTCGACCTTTGAACTCGATCTTCTCAGTCTGAGTCCAGGAGTCTCTCTGTCTTTGAAATCTTCACTCATGTTTCTCTTGAACGTCCTTCATGCATGCTTCATGTCTGCTCACTGTTTGAACACACAGACACACGCACACACACACACACTCACACACACACACACACACACACTCACACTCACACAGACACACACACTCACACTCACACACAGACACACACACACTCACACACACACACACACACACGGTCATGAAACTAAACCCTGTTTGTCTGGATGATCCTCTCGCATGTTCTTCTCTCAGAGCAGCAGTTTCCTCACATCCAGAACTTCAGACCCGTTTACAGTGAGAATGTCCGGAACCGCCCAAATCCAGAACCACCCCCTTTAACCGGGGCGATAATCTGTTAATTAACCATGACGAAGGAAGGAAGTGAGCAGAAAGCAAACAGGTCGTCCTTCCTGTTCACGTGATGAGACAAAGTTGATCAGAGAAGTGAACTCTGATCAGAGCTGTGGACTTTTTACTCTTTTACTTCTTAAGGAGGGTGACCATAACACTCCTATGAGGGGCGGAGTCACAGAGTCACGCGTCGTAAATTCTCACACTTCTAACTCGGTAAGTCGACGCGACACAAACCACCAGTTGAGAACCACTGCTCTAAAGTTTGAGTTCTGCGGTGGTCCGGTTTCTCTGCAAAGTTCAACAAAAAGAAAATATGAGAGTTTGTTTGTTTGTTTGTTTGTTTGTTTGTTTGTTTCTGATTGAAATAAAGATTTTAGAGGTTATTCTACCCCCCCCCCCCAGTTCTGCACACGCTCAGTTTAGACTTGATTTCTCAGCAGGATGGCGGCGTTTTTTTTCTGGTCTGTTGAGGATCTGCTGCCCTGGAGTGTGTGTGTGTGTGCGTGCATGTGTGTGTGCGTGCATGTCTGTGTGCGTGCATGTGTGCGTGCATGTGTCACATTAACACCTGTGTTCTGCTTTCAGCCCGGTGTCTGCTGCTGGCTGATACTGGGATCCAGTGTGACGACTATGTCCAGTCGTGGTTCTTTGACAAAGACGTCGGTGCATGCTCGCCGTTCTGGTTCGGCGGTTGCGGCGGAAACGCCAACCGCTTTAAAACAGAAAGTGAATGTTTCCAGACTTGTGGCATCCATAGTAAGTCCTGAATGAGCACCGGACCGCAACCCGAGACCGGGGGCGTGTCTGTGTGTGGACCGTCTAACAGGAGTGTGTGTGTGTGTGTGTGTGTGTGTGTGAGTGTGTGTGTGTGTGTGTGTGTGTGGACCGTCTAACAGGTGTGTGTGTGTGTGTGTGTGTGTGTGTGTGTGGACCATCTAACAGGAGTGTGTGTGTGTGTGTGTGTGTGTGGACTGTCTAACAGGTGTGTGTGTGTGTGTGTGTGTGTGTGTGTGTGTGTGTGTGTGGACCGTCTAACAGGAGTGTGTGTGTGTGTGTGTGTGTGTGTGTGTGGACCGTCTAACAGGAGTGTGTGTTTGTGTGTGTGTGTGTGTGTGTGGACTGTCTAACAGGAGTGTGTGTGTGTGTGTGTGTGTGTGTGTGTGGACCGTCTAACAGGAGTGTGTGTGTGTGTGTGTGTGTGTGTGTGTGTGTGTGTGTGTGTGGACCATCTAACAGGAGGTGTGTGTGTGTGTGTGTGTGTGTGTGTGTGTGTGTGTGTGTGTGTGGACTGTCTAACAGGAGTGTGTGTGTGTGTGTGTGTCTCTGTGTGTGTGTGTGTGTGTGTGTCTCTGTGTGTGTGTGTGTGTGTGTGTCTCTGTGTTGTGTGTGTGTGTGTGTGTGTGTGGACCGTCTAACAGGAGTGTGTGTGTGTGTGTGTGTGTGTGTGTGTGTGTGTGTGTGTGTGTGTGTGGACTGTCTAACAGGAGTGTGTGTGTGTGTGTGTGTGTGTGTGTGTGTGTGTGTGTGTGTGTGTGTGTGTGTGTGTGTGTGTGTGTGTGGACTGTCTAACAGGAGTGTGTGTGTGTGTGTGTGTGTCTCTGTGTGTGTGTGTGTGTGTGTGTCTCTGTGTGTGTGTGTGTGTGTGTGTCTCTGTGTCTGTGTGTGTGTGTGTGTGTGTGGACCGTCTAACAGGAGTGTGTGTGTGTGTGTGTGTGTGTGTGTGTGTGTGTGTGTGTGGACTGTCTAACAGGTGTGTGTGTGTGTGTGTGTGTGTGTGTGTGTGTGTGTGTGTGTGTAAGCTCGTCATCGTGTCGTTTATTTCAGACTAATAAAGTTTTTCTCTCTTTCTTCTCACTAAACTTTCGGACTAGTCCTTTAAACTGAGTCTGTTTCCGGCTGCAGGTCTTCAGAGTCTGGGTTCAGACACTGACCCCCGATTTCCACCGCATCCTGAACAGCTACTAAAAGGCCGAATCCCCCGCCAAAATAAAACATCCGTCTTCTTTTCAAAATAAAACACTCCGTGTTTCAGGAGGATCGTATTTCACACCATGCAAACGGGCGGAGACGAACAAGTGAAAGGTTTTTAGACGTCATTTCACCCCGATGACACCATGGATGAGGAGATGCTGATTCTAGAAGTCTAGAAGTAGATTTCCTCCTCTGGAAGGACACAATCTACTGCTTATATGTCTATGTGTCTGTCTTTAGAGAGACAACTCGTTATCGTGAGATTGAACGTGAATCTGCAGGTTCTTATGAGTTCTCATGATTACCGCTGTCCTTAATTCGCCACGAAATTCGCCTCACAAACAGATCTGGATCAGAGCCGTTCTGAATGCGGTGAAAGTGGGGGTTATAGTCAAGATCTGGACCCCTCCAGGACCCAGAACTCTGAGTACCTGGACTTTATTCTTCCCTCACAGTCATGACAGCCTGATTATTCAGACCTCAGAAGACCTGAGGTGGGGGGTTAAACCAGCAGAGCTCAGTTTGTTCTCAGGTCTTTCTCCTGGTTCTCCTGGTTCTCCTGGTTCTCCTGGTTGACTCTGTCCTCTCTCACAGATCCAGACGTCCTGCCGAGACCAGAGCTGGTCAGCTTCGCCTCCAAAGGTAAAACCAGACGTCCTGCTGAGACCTTCAAGTCCTGAACTCTTTTTAGAACCTCAGACCTCTTTAGAAGAAGAAGAGACCTCCTTCTAATATCAGTCAATAGTTATTAGTTATTGATTATTTGGTAATATATCGATATCTCTGTGTTCTCTTATGTCTGTGTCGTCAACATTTGAACATTTCTGAGCGGTCCGCTCTTTCTGACTGTAAACAAAGCCGTTCTCCACCTCCTCTAACCTGATTGGTTGTGAGGCAGACGCTGCTCCCCCGTGTCGTTCAGGAGCCCAAACAAAGTTAGCGTAATACCGGAGAGAAGTCCTGCAAACATTGTGTTTGCTGGTAGTCTGTTGGCATCTACAGTAGCACCAATGCTGTTTACTTTCACCTTGACTGGGCCCCATTTGTAATGATCTGAAGTATTTATCTGCATTATATCTGAATTTAACTGGAACGAT